ATTTTCTCGCCTGGTCCATTATACTCCTGCTATGAGTGAAACCATCGGTATTTTTCTTTCTCTTTCTGGCTTATCTCACTAAGCATGATCTTTTCTAGTTCCATCCAAGTTGCTGCAAAAGACATGTGTTTCTCTTTTGGTTGCTGAGTAATATTCCGTTGTATATATGTACCACATCTTTTTTATCCAGTCATCTACTTTTGGGCAAAATGCCCTTAATTTCAAAGATGTAAAATGGGGGCATTATTTTGAGGTGCGAGTGGCCAAGGTTTTGATGATTTAAAATTTGCTATATCTGTAAATTTTGTACAATAATTATATATTAGAAAAAGCAAATTCACTTTAAAGGTTGTGTTCAAGAGACTGAATTTACTGCATTTACAAAGGTGGCCACATTGCCTAGTGCAACCCTATTATGTAGGGTTTTAAGCTAGCAACATCCTCTCAATACATCTTGTGCTTTAATAGCATCATTTAATCCCATGTTTTGTTCATCATGGCCCCTAGATGTACCAAATCCACCGTCAGTGTGAGCACTAAGAGGCCGTGTGCAGTGATTGACATGATTAAAACTGATGAAAAGACTATATATGTGGAAAATCAGTGATGGTTATTGCTTGCCAATCAGGCATGTCACATTCCATCGTCACTACAAACTTGAAGAACACCAGAAGAGTGGCGCAGGCTGTTAAAAGATCTGCTTCATTGAAAGCCACAAGACTAACAAAAATTCAAGAAGGGCCTATTTCACATCTGGAGAAGCATCTAATGATATGGAGTGAGGACCACACACAGAAGCATATCCCTCTCAGTACCAAGACAGTCACAACCAAGGCTAAAAGTTTGTTTGTGATGTTGAAAGAAAAGACTACGATGTTGACTATGATGTTGAATTACTGCTAGCTCTAGGTGGTTTAAGTGACTAAAAGAATCATTATTCTTTACATAAAAGTAAAAGGGAGTGGTGAGGATGCTAGTGCCGATTAAAGGCAACTGAAGAGTTTTTGGAAATGCTAGATAAGCTGATTTGCCAGAACAAATCTTTAATGTGGATGAAACCTATTTATTATGGAAATGGATGCCTGAAAACAATTTCATCCATAAGGAAGCCATGACAGTTTTCAAGGATTATCCTGTTTTAAGGACAGGGTAACAGTCTTCTTGGGAGCAATGTTGCAGGTTACAAGTATATCAGTGAGCACACACTGCCTGTGTACTACAGGAGCAGTAAGAAGTCATGAATGACCCAGCTCTTCTTCTAGAATGCCCTCCTGAATTGCTATGCTAGTGAAATGGAGAAGTACTATTTGGAGAATAATGTATCTTTTAAAATTTTGCTTGTTTGATAATGCTTCCCAACATCCTTTTTTTTTGGTAATCTTCATCTCAATACCAAAGTGATGTTTCTCCCTCCAATACCACCTCTTTGATCTAACCAGTGGATCAAGGAGTTATAGCAACATTTAAGGCCTTCTGCTTGAGGAGGACCTTTGCCCCAGCGATTGCAGTAACTGAGGTGTGCACGGAGAAAACATTGATGCAATTCTGGAAGGATTATGACATCTATGACTGCATTAGGAGCCTTGCTTGGGCCTGGGGAGATGTCACCAAGGAGTGTATGAGTGGTATCTGGAAGAACTCAAGAGGTTTGTCTATGAGTTCAAAAAATTGCCAAGGAGGTTGTGAAAATCAACAAGGCTGTGGTTGTGATGGCCAGCAACTTTAATTTGGCTGTGGGTGAGGATGACATTGAGGAGCTCCTACATGTTCCTCAGGAACTGACCAATAAGGAGTTGTTGGAACTAGAACAGGAACATATTGCTGAAGAAGAGGGAAAAAAAAAAGCTGCAGGAGAAGCAAGAGAACCACCTCAACGAAAATTCACAGGGAGGGGGTTGGCGAAAGCTTTTGCAGACCTCAATAAGCTCCTTAAAAAGTTTGAAATATGGACTGCCAAAATCAAAAGGTGTTTGTTAACCCTTTTCATGGTGCTTTATCTGCTTATAAGCAAATCCATGAGAAAAACCAACCAACCAAGCAAAATACTGTGAACCTATTTCTGAAAAGAGCAACACCTTAAGCCTCCTTAAGAAGTCTCAAGCTAGGCCTTCAGCATTTGTTCCAGAAGGCAGTGTCATCCTAGGAGATGATGGCCCCATGCAAATCCTTGCCCCTGAGGAGCCTCCCAGGGAGGGGAGACTGTGCTGCAATGGTGCCCCCTGTGTAGTTATGGTGGTGTATATGCTTGAACCTTAGTTTTAAACAAAAATTAAAAATAGGAAAATTGAAAGCATTAAAGCTGTATTTTTGTTCAGTTGTGCAGTTTGTATTTAACAAAACATTTTAAGTCAAAAAGTATAAAAATTAAGTTTTTAAACTTAGGTTACAGTAGGTTGAAGTAACAGTAGCTGAAGTGCAGCAGTGTGTAAAGTCTACAGTGGTGATCACATCCTAGCATCTGTATTTACTCACCACTCAATGACTCACCTACAATCCCGTCTTTCAAATTCCATCAAGTGTCCTATTTGGGTGTGTCACTTCTTATGCTTTACACATTTGTACTGTACCTCTTGTATGCCTACATAGGTTTAGATACACAGATACTATTGTGCTTTAGTTGCCCGCAGTATTCAGTACAGTAACATGCGGTACAGGTTTGCAGCCTAGGAGGGAGAGCTTTACTGCACAGCAGAGGTGTGCAACTAGTTGGCCGTACCTTCTAGGCTTGTGTAATCACATTCTGTGACATTTGCCCCATGAAACTGCCCAATGACATGTCTATGAGTGATAGGTGACTGTACCAACAGGCGGTAACCAGACTGTATGTGATAACCTCACAACCAGCCTCTCAAGCTAAGCCATCTCTATGGCAATGAGGACTCTGGTCAGATGACTGGCAGTTACTCTATTTTTGTTCCTCCCTTCATCATCTTAGGACCAATCAGAGAAAGGCAATGGCCTCATAGTTTGGGTGATGTTTACTTCCACATATTTGATGTTTACTTCCACATATTTCCACTGGGGCTGAGAGAGTACGAATGAAATGAAAAAGAGTGAATGTTTCATATGTGGTGTGAGTTCTACTTTGAAAAAGATAAATATAGAAAGAAGACATCAATATGCTGAGTAGTGGTTGAGTAGTGGTCTTAAGTACAAGGAAAATTTGTTTTCTGACTTTTTGATCATTTCGCTATAAACATGTATTTAAAAAATTCATGCACACAAATTTTCTTAGAAATTACTAGACTGACTTGATGAATACCTCAGGACAACATAGCAATTGGTAGGCAGTTTTATAATACAGCTATGTTTACTTATAGAATAAAATTGTTATTCATCTATTGTTTAATTTTACTATTCTTGCTGTTTGACATTTTAATGTCAGTTTGGAATAATTAAAAATACTATTATGCATTTTAAAAATCACATTAAACATCTGGATTCCTTTCATACTCTTCTAAAGTTCTTTGGTATATTTTCAAATGTATATATGGTATATGGTATATGAAACATGTATCAAATTTTAACTTATTTAAATCTTCCTAATTAATCACAATCAAATTAAAACTTTAAATTGCCAAGGAGTGGGATTCTCACGTATAGCTTTATTTAATTTCAATGTGGCCAAGAACATAGTCTTTCTGGTATGAATCTTTGGAAATTACATGTTCAGTTTGTATAAATACTAGGAAAGAGATTAGGTTCATTAATGACTTTGTTGTTGCTAAGAAAGTACTACAGTTTCCCTGGGTTGTTCTGATGATTTGAGACTGTGATCCAACTGTTCTAAGATAAAACCATAGATAGAGGTTGTTATTTTAAAAACCAGCCATCAAAATCTATAGAGGCAGAAGGTAGATAGAGGTTGCCTCGACCAGGGGTGGGGTTAGGGACTGGGCACATGCAGGCAAGAGGGATCCTGCAGGAGCAATAGAAATATTCTCTACTGTACTGATGGCTGCACATCTGTCAGTGTAGTACTGGAACTTAAAAAAAGTGAATTTCATGGTGTGCAAACTGTGCCTTAATTAAAATAAGTAAAGATTATCTTTTCGTGAAAAAGCAGAAACAGCCCTCCTGGGGGCAGACCCAGGAAACCAGTGACTGACTACTGCTGCAAGACCAGTGGCCAGCCCCTAGCCTGGGGTCCTACAGTCTGCCTCCTGACCTGTGCTGGCTGCAGCCAGGCCTGCTGTGCCCCTCCCAGGCTTAGATAGGCTGGGGCTTCCCCTGCCAGCACAGGCCTTGTCTGCCTGCATCAGCACTTTGTGTGCTTATCCTGTCTGGTGGCCTTGAATACCCTCAAGAGGGACCGAGTGTCTGGAACCTTGAGCACTCCAAGTGGGCCCTATACTTGACTGGGGAGAAGCCAGAGGGCCTCAGGCTATGGTGGAAGATCACATTAAGATTGTACACGGTAGCTTTAGTTCCTTCAGGGATTTATTAAGGCATTGAGCACAGTGTCATTTTTAGCCAACAAGGAAGTATGTCAGGACCTGAGGGATTTACCTTTAAGGTTAATGGTGAGGAGAAGCTGAAAGAACATTTTGAGTAACACCTGCATGGTTCCCACCTGTGTCCCTCAGCTGGGAGTTCCAGCCTCAGGGCTCCTGGAGAAACCTCAGAGGTCCCAACATTGATGGCCGACAGGTTTATAACCCTTCTATCTGGAGCCAATTGGTAGAACAGTCTCCCTGCAGCATGCAGCTGCAGGAGAGCACCCATGGGTCTAGAACAGGGTTAGTGTCGGCCTGGCCACACGTGAAGTACAGAGGCAAGCAGGGGGCAGAGCCTACAGGGCCTGGGACACCATGCAAGGGCTGGTACATGAGGGCTAAGGGGGACTCTGCCTGGGTCCTACCTGTATCTGTTCAGCCTTTTTTCCACTTAACAGCTCATTATTTCTGGGAGAATGGGAGAAAACAGAGGAAGGGAGGGAGGAGAGAGAGGCCAGTCCCCATTTAGTGGAGTCATCACCCTGAAAGCCCTGACTGCTCATGGTCACTGGAGGTACTGAACTGCCTCTCCACCTTCTTTTGGTCCTTGATCTTGAGTCCAATGTCCACCCTCTTCTCAAAGAAGTTCACCAGCACAGACTCCGTTAGGATGGAGGCCAGGATCTGCTCAAAGGAGATGCACCAGTCTGTGTCCACGGTGCCCCCACAGCGAGCAGTGGCCTCAGGGCTACGGGCCTCCCCACCCACCAGCACCGTGTCATCAGCCAGATCCTCACACTGCAGAGAGCCTGTGCTGACCACCGAATAGGAGGACATGGACATGTCATCTTTGGTTTCGTCGTCAGACAGAAGCTGGGCGGGAGATCCCTGCCCCTCGCCACCACCCCCTTCGCCCACCACTTGGCTTTCGTGCGGTGCCTTCCCAAGGTGGGTATCACCACCAGCTTTGGCCTGGGGATCCCCTGCAGCTGGTGGCTGAAGCTCCAGGGCTGTGTCCTGAGTGGGGTTGGAGGTTGGCACTTCATCCTCCTCAGGGGCACCATCTCTGGGCTTCCTGCCAGGCCGTACCGAAAACCTCTTTCCCACCTCGCCGATGCGGAGCAACAGGCTGGCCACTGTGGCAATAGCGTGGTAGAGCTCCTGCTCCATGGGGTCTTCACTGAACATGTTATACAGCGTCTTGCACAGCTCAATGAATTGCTCCTGTGAAGGGAAAATCAGAAAAAGGACAGAGTAATACTGAATGATGGGTTAGTTTGCCCTGGGTTCGGCCAGGCCATATGCTGGCTGTTTCAGATTGGGATTTTAATTTTTTTTTGGTGCAGTTGTCTCCACACACTTGTATCTTGTCCTGCACATTTCAGACTGGGACACAGCCTTGGAGGGGGAAAGTGGATTTGTACAGCCTTCAAAAGACCATTTTTCAGCACAGAAAACTACCTGGAATCTCTCCTTGTCACCATGTCCATTCTGTTAACAGAGATGGGCTCATTTTTATCATGATTTTCCAAATCCAGTGACCACAAAGACTTCTGTAAACACTTCCAGACTTCTTATCTTTAATCAGAGGTGACTTCAACTCTGTCTCTGACTCTTCAGGAGATGGTGACAGAACAAGTATAACCTGGTCAGCTGTAAGGTAGGGAGGTCACATTCCAGGCTCTGAAGCCATACTTTCAGGCCTCCTGATCTGAGAATTGGCTGGGGCACCCCAGTCACAGGCTTGTGGGTGACAAAGTGCCCAGACTGTAGGCTGCCCTGTGGGCACAGCAGGGCCATGGTCAGGCTGCCTCGCCACTCTGAATGCAGGGCCTTGGTTATGAGGTCCCAAGCAAGGCACTAGGTTCCCCATCTAGAGACCAGCAGATGAAGGGCTGGCAATGAGGGCAGGTGGGCCCATGTGTGACCAGTGCCCGGGCTGGGTCTGGAGGTGGAGCAGGAATATGGTCTAGTGGGACGTGTCTCCACCTGAGGGAGGGTGACCTCCCTTCCCCTGTGCTTCTCGGGTTCACAGATACTGATTAAATGAAAAGCAAATCATGTCCATGGAACAGTGCCCCAGACAAGGACCTAAAGGCACTGGCGGCTGTCTTTCTGGAATTGTCTATGACTGCTTTCTGACTAGCGGCTCCAGAGGTTGGCACAATCCTCACCCTCCATGGTTGCTGGGCTTGCAGGTGGTGAAGTGCCCTGCAGAAGGGCCCTGTCTTGAGATTCAGAATTCTCCAGAAGTGTCTGTCGTAGACTCTGATTGGGCCTACCTGGTTCATCTTGGGAAGATCCTTGATTGTCTCCTTCTGAACCTCTTTCTCCTTGGCCCACATTCGAAGGTAGTGCCGATAGTCGGGGGGGCTGGTCCCCTTTTCCTCTATGAGTTGGGAGAAAAAGATTAATCTCCATCTGCCAAATGAGAGAAAGAGGGCTGGGGGCTGGCAGCGGCAGTGTGTGGGTTTGGGTGTTGTCTGTTGTGGAGCTACTCAGGTCATTTTACATTGGGTAGGTGGTGAGACACAAAGCCCATGGCTCTCCTGAGCTGTGCTTTAGTAGTTGTGACCTATCCTGATGCAGACGGCCCCAACCTGTTTTCCCTGAGACACTGGAACCACATGGAGGCTGGAGAGAGGATGGCATGAGGAGGCTGACTGGACCACCTAGAAGGGCCTGACAGAAAGCAGATGCCCCTAGGGAGGTGGTGAGGTCCAGGAGTGTTCACAGCTTCAAGAGATTAAGGCCTGAGAGCTTGATTCTCCTTACAGTATTGCCACAGGGACAGCACAGAGACAGACATGAGGGGCACACAGACCCTTGGCCCTGGGCTCCCTATCAACACAGATGGAGCGCTGACGGCATCTACCTTGTGTTTTGTCTCGGACGTCCTCACTGCCAGCTCCACCTTGTTCTTCCTGTTGTAGTGCTTCTGGGCCACCAGAAAAATAAAAGAACATCCTTCTGTTACGAGTGCACACTGCTGAGGTCCTGGGCGGGCCAGGCTCGCACACCGCCTCGCCTGTCATTCAGCCAGCCCTACCTGCTTTCGTTAAACCAGAGCTATAAAACCCTCATATGCTCTCTTTTCAAAGGAATACAAGTCTTCAAACTCTGAAAAACCAAGGAGTTTTTCAGAATGAACAATCATGCATGTTATGAAGAGCGAGAATGATTTCTGTAGTTTTTGCTGAAAAGGTCCAACTTGGACCTTATCAAGTCAACCTACAATTACCACACAGGCTAATGGGGGTATTTTTTTTATCTGCTAAAGTGATACATTTGCTGGAGCTGTACACACTGTGCGACCTGGTGACCATGAACTTGGGGAAAGCAGGCTGCTCAGCTCTCCAAACTGCTCCCAGAGGCAGTGTGGGTGACCTCAGGAAGGACAGCAGCGTTTCCGCTCGGGATGGCCTCACTGATGCTTTAGGCTGGAGGGGCACCTCTCTGGACTCAGTCTCCTCACCTTGGGTGGGGACCCACTGAAAATGAGGCCTTTCCCTAGCACAAGCCTAACACACTGCCCAGGTTCTGAGTGTAACAGAAGGTATGTGAGATTGTTTAGTTGGCATATTTGAAATCACAGTCCGTAAGCTGCACAGTCAAGTTCAAGTGAGCCTTAACACTGTCAACAGGACTGTCCTGGGTATCCTGATACACAGTTTTAAGTTTCCCTTCTGGGTTTGTATTACCCTTGGTGAGTATCATCTGTCTCTTAGAAATGACAGGGCGGACGGATTTCTGGCCTGTTTTATGAGTAAAGCACATACTAACAGCTGGCTCACCAAGTCCCAGGCTGGCAGTGGCCTATTACTCTGAAGCCAACAATGGGATGTAGAGGTAGAACTTCCGATAGGCTTCTGATATGACTCAACATGCATATTCTTCCTTAATGAAAAAGTTGTGTGTAGGGGAATGAACAACACCAACTTGCAGAGGACATGGAAACCTTTCCTAAGAAAAGCACCCACTACTCTGCTGCTACTCCCTCTGTGGACTCTGCACGGTTCACACTGCTGCCACGACAGCATGTGTATTTCTCCCCATAAACATGCAGACAGAAGACTTCCTGCGCGTGGTCACAGGGCCGACACCCTGGTGCTGCGCCATGTCTACAGTGCTGTGCCTCACACCCATCCCCAAGACGAGTACAAGGCCACTCCTCTCCTCCCCTGTCCATGGGAATCGCTCTGCTTGGGGCACTCCACAGGATGGACCCACAAGTGGGGTTTCTGGGGCCAAGAATTTTTGGCCTCCTGACCATACAGTGGTGTTAGGAAGATGAAGCCTGAAGTTCTGGTGAAGCCCAGAACCAGGGGTGTGTCCCAGCCCCCAAGGACTGACCTTGAGCCTCCCAGGGCAGGAAAAGATCCAGATCTGAGGCCAGGGGAGATGCTGGAAGGGACAGCAGAGGAAGACCAGAGGGCAGAGGGAGGGAGAAGCCAGTGTCCAGGAAGGCAGAGACAAGAGAAACAGAAATGAGAATACTGCCGGGGATCCTGGCCTGGCAGGGAGGCAGGCCCCTGTCCTGGTGCTCTCCAACGCAGGCATGCCTGAGCCCAGTGCTGGGCCACAGGCCACCCAGACGGGGCCCGCAGCCAAGCCTGGTGCTGATGGCTCACCTTCTGAGGAGCTGTCCTCGGTGAAAAAATGGGTGGCTTCCAGGGCAGATTCAGTTTCCTCTGGGCTCAGTGCTTTGCTCAGAAAGAAAGGACAGTGAGGGCAGGAGAAAGCAGTGATTCACACAAAAGCAAACCTCTCTGAGTTCTGGCACCAAGCCCAGCTTCCCCCTGTGCCTGCTGGTAAGATGTGTGATCAGAGGGGTGGCAGTGGTGACTGATTCTGGGTACGCTTATTCTCTTGACTTTGTATGTTGTGTCTGAAACATAAATAGTACCCCTGGTAAAAATTCAGTCAGTGCAGATGGAAGTCCAGTGACCAGCCAGCCTTCCACCCACCTCTTGATGACAAGGACCCAAGAACCCTGGGCATACACATAGAGAACGACCATGAGGAAGTTGACTCGCCCTTCTCATTTCACACACTGGGTGTTTCACACTGATTCACACTGGACTGTGACTCGTGATTCATGATGATGATGCAGACCCCCAGTCTCCGCTGTGGTACACAGCAGTAGGGGATTCTTCCCCCAGTTGTCCAGGGGTGCACAGTGAGAGAGAATGAGCAGGTGTGGGTAGAGTTCTACAGGGGCCTGGGCATAGCAGGAGGTATCTGGGAATCGTGGGGTGGCTGCACTGGCTTTCTTATGTAGGCTCTTGTGAATCTGTCCCTCAGTTGAATCAGACATGGTCAGTACCAGTCCTCCCAGGAGGGTTAGCTGGGACCACTATTCTTGTCCACTGTAGGAAAAATCTAACCACTGGGGGAAAAAAAAGCAGGACTTTCAGGCAACACAGAACAATTACCTGGAGAGTTATAAAATAGAATCTGGGCCCTCCCAGGCCAAAGTACGAGCCTCTGGAGCTGAGCTCAGCCCAGTACCTCAAGAGTCACTTCAGGCGGCCTCTGAGATTACAGGGCTGTGGACAGTAGCAGGGTGCCAAACAGCTCCACCGCAGCACCTAGGCTGGGATTTTCAGTTTCCTCCAGGGATAAAAGAGGTAGCTCTGCCTGGAATAGCTCTCCATGTGGCTGCACCAGGTGAGCATGGCCTACACAGATGGACCCCAAAGACTGGGTTCTGACTTTGACCAGCTGCCCCCATGAGCCACCAGGCATCACTGTCAGTAGCTAGGGCACCTCAAAGAGACATGATCCTGCTCATGGCTGTGACAGTTCACCCTTGGGCCTTAGCAGTGCCCCCAGGTTGAACCTTGGGGGATAAACAAGACTTGAAAACAAGTTACTAAGCACAAGGTTCTTGATTTCACACTTGCGTGTCAAGTTATGCAACCCCTCCCAAGTTTCTGGTAGAGCTGTGAACCTCCCAGATCATAGCCCTATTCAAACCAAGACAGGCTGGGCCTCACCCCCTCCATTAGGCCTGGCCTCCAGGGCTACCTCAGGGTCTAGCACCCTACAGAAGTTTGTGCTGGTCCTTGGGAAGCTGTAGGCTCAGCTCTGGAAGTGTGTGAGGCTCCTGCTGGGGAGGAGGTAGAGAGGCTCTCACCTGGGGGCAGGTGTAGCTTATAGAGTGCCTTGAGCTTCTCTGTCAGGTCCCCATGGTACATCCCACCTGTGGAGGAAGGTCAGAGAGGAAGCACACTACCAACAGAGTGCTGAAGACTTGAGACACTGAATTTCAACACTGTCCCTTCCAGTGGCTTCTGGCAGGATGCTCCTTACAATTTGGCCCTCTCAGAGAGGCCTGAGAGCAAGCCCCAGGTATCCTGCTTTTTCTCCTTCTCTAAGGTCTACAGATCTGGCCTCTAGCAGGTCCATTAATAGAAAGCAGCAGGGAGACACGCTGGACTCCCAGGTGTGTCCTGGGGGATAAGTGCCCATCCTTCAGTAAGGATCAAGGGCTCTGGGATGCCCTCTGCTAGCCAGTGGGAACTGGCCAGGTCTGGACCTTGTAGGCGTCTTCAAAAAGGCTAGGATGCAGGCAGGCACTGCAGCCACTTACTCATCCCTGTCACGAACTCTTTGAAGTTGATCAGTGAGTCCTTGTTTTCGTCCAGGAGCCGAAACATTCGTCCTGCCAACACAGATGTGTGAGAGCCACAGGCCCAGGGTGTCAAGCTGGTGAAGAGGTCCCGGAACTGGCTGGCATCTATGCGGTACTGTTCCAGGTAGGGCAGGCTGGGGTCCCGACACCCAGCTGTAGGGCGGCTGCTCCCCCAGTACTGACTTGCCAGATACTTGGCCTGCAGGGAACATAGTCTCATAAAATGGCCTAAGTGCCCCTCCCCTGGGCAGTTAGGATCACCAGGCTAGTTGGGGTGTCCACCCTCCTTCTCCACCTAGGTCGCAGGGTGGTGAGTACTGTGCCAGATATAGCTGTTCATAGACCCTCAGTCCCTCATTTACAGAGCAGTGATCTGGGACAGACCCCTGGGCACCAGGCCGCAGCAGGCCTAAAGCTGCAGAATGGCAGCCACCTTGTGGGCTGAACCAGAGGAAGCTGGGAACTTACAAGAGCAGAAAGGCAGCATAGACTTTTGTGCCTGCTGAAGAGAAAGTACCCTTTTCCTTCTGTGATAGCACCTGCAATTCTCCTGGAGAGCCCTTCCTGTCCTACTTTAGGCCCAGATGTAGCCCAGTGGCAGATAACTGCCCAGCAGCCACAACACACTGAATCAGCCTCATAATCAGTCTCCCTGGACTTTTTGCTCAATCCTTTTGGAAAGAGAGGTTATCTCCACCGGGGATCCTAAGTGAACAGGATGATCATGGGTCTGCCAACAACTGCCACTCTACGGAAGAGCAGGCTGGAGGCCGTCTGGGGCGGGGAGAAGCATGTTTGAGCGCCCAGGTCCAGCTATACCCGAAGCTGTGCTTTCCTACAGTTTTCACTTACATGAGCTAATATACCTCCTTTTCTGTATAAACTGGTGTGAGTGGTTTTTCTGTGACTTAAAAGTATCCTCTAATAATGAAATCACACCACATGCAGTTTGTGGTAACTATAACTGAAGATGCTTTTAAATCTATTTCTGGCAAGAGACAGCTGTGCTAAGGATACATTTAGGAGACTAAGCTGGGGTTCTGACACTGTCCTTGCTTTGACTATCACCTTAAACACCATGTAAAGGTCCTCTAGCTCTTCAATTGAGAAACCAATGTCCCCAGGTATCGCTCGGACCTAGAAGGAAAGAGAAATAGGATTTATGGATGGCTCCTTAAGGTCCTGCAACAGTTAAAACAAGTTGCTCTTTGGGATGATGAGTAGACATGACCCTCCCTCTGATGCTGCTAACTGGCCCAGCATACAGGGTGGCCCACCCAGGAAAGAGGACATGGCCCGCACATTCACTCCTTGGGCACTGCCCATCCTGCTACTCAGTCAGGGGCTGCTATCTGGATCCCTGGAGAGACCCTAGTACTACCTCTTTGGAAAGCATCCTAGACCTTCCCGGTACATTCTCCCTTCAGAGGTGAGGAAGGCAAAGGCTTATGGCAGAGGCACTGTGGGCTGGGTGGGTGGAAAGTGGCCAAGTATCGTCATCCAGAGGCAGTGTCAAGTCAGGCTGGGACAGTTTGGCTGGGAGCAAAATGGCACTTGGACTTTATACAGTTGGGCATCAGAGAAGCTGATGATTAAATCATGAGCAGAAAATAGTGATGGGGACCTTTACCCATGTTCCCACATGTGCACATCACTTCTGATTCAACACAATCTGGAATCTGGATTCCAGATTCACTTTGCTCGCTGTGCTGTGCTCCACTCACACCTTGGGAGGCACTTTGTCAGGGGCAGTCTCCCCGGGTCACCTCCCCTCCTTGCCTGCAACCTGGGGCCATGGGAGCCCTGTCACATCCATACCACACTCCTCTTGGCTGTGTCTTCCAGGGACTGGATCACTTTCAGCCTCTGTTTAAACCGCATCTGTTCAATGTCATCGGCGCGCAGGCTGCTGAATTTCTATGTAAGAGGGAGCCCGTGAGATAAGGTGAAGTCAGGGTCTGACACCTCCCACCCTCTCACTACAGCACTGCACCCACATGACTGGACGTAGGAACATGACCACAAGATTCCAGTGATCACTGACCTCGTATGACACCTTCAAGAGGTCAAAGATGTCCACCTCTGCAGGGGGGCTGTCCCTGCTGGTCAGCAGGGCATGGAGGTGTGGGATGGGCGGAGAGATACTCTGTTTATTGACCACGTTATCCAGGTATCTGCCAGGATTAAAGACAGAAGTGTAGACCACTCACAGGTGGTGACAGGGCACCTTTACACACAGATGTGGAGGGACCATTTCACAAGCAGGACCTGAGGGCTGGGCCTCCCTAGAAAAGCTGGAGATAAGCCACTGACTCCATGGTGAGGTGGAAGGTGCCCTGATAAATAAGGGGTCCTCCTGGAGGAATAGAGAGAACAACTCAGTCTGAGCTCTAATGAGGAAGCTAAGATGTCCTCAGGAATCCTATGGGAGATTCCCAGATGCTATCTCTCCAGAAGAATGGTCCACTGGGGTAGGAGGGACATGTTCCCTCTCTCTGGTGAGCCACTAGGGATGTGGGGATTATGCTCAGCAAGACTTAGGAAGCAAAGGAGAAAGGTGTAGAAGGAGTGCTGCTGTGGCCATGTCTGTGGGTAACAGCTTTAGGACAGGGCCTAACTTCAGCTGGGCTTGTCCAACCTGGGCTTCATGCCCACACAGGCTCTCCAGGCTGGGCCTGAAGCTCAGGTGGGAGAGGTGGGTGGTTCCCCCTATACTCTGGTCAGGGCTCCATCCCCAGGGAGTCCCTCACTCCTGAGGAGGGGCCCTGCAATCTGTATGGTATGGGGAGGGACATGAAAATCCTCTGTGGCTCTGATGTGGGCTATGTCTGTAGACAAAGAGCTAGCACAGTCCAGAACAGAGAGATGACTACCCTGTGGAATGCTAGCCAGCACTTTGGCTGGCTCAGAAGGCAAGTGGCAGCATCCCCGACTGTCCTGGGTGGCTGGGAGCCTTCCACGCCGGGAAAATATGTGCACACAGGGCCAGGGCCAGGGCCAGGTTAGAAGGCCACGGTGAGGACTCAGCTCCTTTGTAAGAGGAACATCCTTGGCAGGGGAAGTCCTCATGTTCCAGGGTCTGACAGCAGAAAGAACCTTGTAAGATGCTGGTGGGTGAATCTAGTGCAGGGAAAACCACAGAGAAGCAGGCATAAGGCTCAAGGCAGGAGTGTTGTGGGCCTACATTGAGGCCTTGCAGGGAGGAAAGTGACACAGGATCCCAGCATCTATGAGAACTGGATGTGGAGTTGAGGGACAAGGTGGTGGCCAGGATTACCCTGGGACATAGGTGTGACCAGTGGGTATCAGCTCTTTTAGCTCTTACGGCAAGCTCTGCATGGTCCTTGAGCTCAGGAAAGTATAACAAGTCTGTTTTGTGGGAGTAACTGCTGCCCAGCCAATCCAGCCACCTCCTTCCTACCCATGATCAGAGCCCCCAGCCCAGCATGCTTTGGCCCACTCCCATTCTCTCTTATTCTGGTCCTAATGCTGCTCAGTGGTGCTCTGTCCCCACTAGGAGGAAACTTCTCCTTTCCCCTGGATCTAGCAGGTCCAGCTTCCCAATGGGCACAGTCACTGAATGCTGGCTGGGGAGTACCCAAGGCTGTCCCTGGAGGGCGGCTTGGTTACCTGCCCAGGATGGTCATGGCCTCGCCCTCGTCCACACAGCCCAGCAGCTCCTCCATGTTGGCATCCAAGATGGCCAAGGCCACTTGCAGGATCACCTTGATGCCCTCATAGAAGAAACAGTCGACGATGACCACGGCACTCTCAAAGGGCATGACACTGAGGAAGAGGGTCAGGAACCAGGACAGTGAGATGCTGGAGATGACCCCGAGGTCCTGCATCTTCTCGGAGAGCTGGGGTAGAAAGTCCCTTGTGAGCTCTTCAAAGATGCCTTGGTCCACCAGGGCCCCTAGGGAGGGGACAGAGGAAGGTGACCTGTGAGCCCACACCCTGGGCTTTGGTTCAGGTGCGCCCTCATGTGGGGCCTGACAGCCTGAGGCTCAGGCCCTGCCTGATCTCTGGACAGTTCCACGCACACGGAGGGCTACAGAGGGTGGGTGTGAATGAACAGCAAGCTATTAAAAATTTTCTTTCTACGGCTTCCAAACCATTGTGGGCAAAGAATGATTTCTTCCATAACACTTGAATTTTCTCTTGGGAAATACAAAATTGTTCCCCCATAAGTATCAGGTTAAAACATGGGCTCGGGGCTTCTGTGTGTCCTGCTTTAAGGCAGGACACATATGAGAACACATATGATTCTAAAGGAACCACCCCGACCGCCGCATAACCATCTTAATTACACACATAATTCAATACATTTGCAAACCCATTTCTACAGCATAACAGAGATTCCACAAGTACAGCTGAGGAGGAGTACAGGGTGCGTGTACTGTATGTACCAGTGGTGATACTGGGAATTCTCTCCAGCAAAAAAGTTTTAAGAATTAGACAGGTGGGAATTTAGGCCCCAAGCACTTTTAAGTCACTTGATGTGTAACTTTTAACTCACTGCCAGCAACTGGGAAATCTGCGCGCCTGGGTCAGACGGTTGGTGAGCCCATGTCTGGCTCTTCACTTTCCAGCAGCGTGGGGACTTCTACAGACAGCAGCACAGCTGTGGGGCACACACTTATGGAGCTGGCCTAGGGGCTGCCACCGCTGCTGGCACTCACCTACCACCCTGGTATTGTAGTAGTCGGGCAGCATGCGCTCACAGAGGGCCACCAGCAGCCAGAAGGCCTCCTCCTCACTGCCATAGAGCAGCAGCACTGAGGTGACGATGTTCATGGCCTGTGGGCACAGGGACAGTGAAGGAAGGGTCACAGAGTTGGCCCCCAAGGAAAACCCTCCCCTTGACCCACAGGCAAGTTCCACAATGACAAACTGTCCCACCCAACTCAGCAATTTGCCCAAGGCGATTTGCTGAAAATCAATTTGACAAAAAACTCAGGGGGTCCCTCTTATCATTCTGGCAGGCACTCAAGGGTCAAGAGTGTGGGCACGAGATGCCGCACTTGTGCAGAGGTGTCTGCTGCTGAAGGTGTGATGGTGGGCCAGGTGCACGTGTGTGTGAGTTGTGTGGCACAGAGCCACGTGGTTACGGGGAGGCCACGGCAAGGCGAGGGCAGCACAAGTTCGGTTGACTGCAGGCTCATTAGGAAAAGCTTGAACAGAAGTAAGTTATCTTCAAAATTATTTAAAGCCAGAATACTGGCTTTCCATACACTGGTCATGCGGACACTGATTCTACAGAAAGTGGATCTGGTGTGCTGCCTTGAAAACACGTGCAGTCTAGAGGACACGGAAAGCCATCTGACCAGACTGATGAAATGGCCACTAGATTTAAAACCAAATGTTAACAGAAATGCAAAGCAAAGCTGCAATGATATGTTCCTTAAGCCATTAGGATGGTTACCATCAAAAATTTAAAAAAGCAAATTTGGTGGGGATTTGGAGATGTTGGATCCCTTGTGCATTGCTGGTGGCAATGTAAATTGTGCAACTCCTATTAAAAGACTATGACAGTTCAACAAAAAAGTAGGTACAGAAATACTGTATAATCCTACAATTCTACTTCTAAGTATATCCCCAAAAGAAATGAAGGACGTGAGCGCATACTGTATATCCATGTTCATAGTAGCATTATTCGAAATAGCCAAAAGGTGGAAAAACCCTAAATGGCCAAGAACAGATGAACAGATAAACAAAATCTGATATACCCATAAAGTGGAACATTATTCAGCTTAGAAAGGAAGACAATTCTGCGATATGTTAGAACATGGATGAATGTGGAGATGATGCTGAGTGAAATAGGCCAGTCACCAAGGGCTCTCACTGCATGACTCTACTTCCATGAGATATCTGGAACAGTCAGCTTCAAAGAAAGACAAAGTAGAAGAGTGGTTGCAGGGAACACCGGGGTTATTCAATGGGTAGAGAACGCCAGCTTTGTAAGATGAAGTTTTGGGAATGGATGGTAGTGGTGGCTGCACAATAATGTGATGTATTAAATGTTATCATATACTTACAAGTGGTTAAGATGCTTCCAGAAGCACACAGAAGGTAACTTAATATGGGGATAAGTGAACAATTATCACTGTTTTGTCTTTTTCTATGGGGGAACAGGGACTGAGGCCACCAGTCAGATCCAGGTCCACAGAACCTGATGGCCTCTGCTGAGAGATGTTGTATCTGGGTTCCCACCCGAGTCCCCTAACCTGGCAGTAGCCAATGGTGGGGTTTCGGAAGGCATAGGCAGTCAGCACTCGCCGCAGTGCAGCGATCCCCAGCTCATTCTGGAAGGCAGGGTGCTCGGGCATGGAGCGGTGGAGGTCTCGCTCGATCTCCTCGGTGGCCAGGCTGTACTTCCCCATGGACTTCTCTACCAGGTCAGCATAGTAGTTGGGATGGGTCACCATCTCATTCCAGGCCCCTGTGAAGACATGGGTAGCAAGTGCCTCTTTTTTCCTCCCAGAAATTTGGAGAGACATCAATGTACCACAGAAGGGAAGTGGTACTCAGGTCTCAGTGGTATGAGATGAAGGTTCCTTGTGACTGCTTTTTCTTCCACTCAAGTCCCAATGGCTGACTTGTCCAGTTCCTGAAAACCTCCAAGTGGTGGGAGTGTGGACACTGTCAGAGCTGGTCTGGAGGACCAGAAGTGAGCAGGCTGGAGGACCAGCCTCGGCCTGCTCACTTCCCACTGTGGGTAGGAAGGGACCACACTGGTGATAGCGCCCCATGCTTGGTCTGCTCATGGTGTGGGCCCTGCAGTACCCCCTTATAGCTGAGAGATCCACTTCCACTGGTAGGGTTGGCAGCTCCCCTGGCCAATTGAGGAAGCTGGTCTGGAGGCAGCCAAGCTGCCACAGGGAAAAGCAGCAGCTCACCTGAGAAGAGGAGCCACAGTTCCCCCCGGAGGCTCTCAGGAATGCCCTTCAGCACCAGCTCCCGCGTTTTGGCGGTGCGGTACATGCACATGCCGCGCCCATACTCAAAGAAGTGGATGTTCCACGACTCCTCTTTCATCTTCTCCTTGGCCTGGGGGAAAGCAAACAGGGCTGTGGGCTCCACTTGGGTATGAAGGCCCAAGTGATAGGGCCTCTTTTCTCCCTCCACCTAGACAATGCAGGACTGGTCAACTGGGATTTCCGAGGGAGCCCAGGCTGGGCTGAGCACAGCACCACTCTGAGACATCAGGAGATGCCTCCCAGAGGACACATGGTGACCAGCGCCCCCAGGTCTGTCAGGCAGGGGACTCGGCCCACCTTCCCCTATGTGCCCACTGTCAGCCTCTGAGGGTTGAGGGGAAGCCTCACCCCCTTGGCTCCCAGATCCTCCATGTGCGTGTTTCTCTGGAAGAGTTTAAGCAGACCCTGGGAAGCGGTTGGTGCCTCCTGTGCACGGGAGATGTGGCGGCCGCTAAGGGTTGAGGACAAGCTGGCGGGCTCTTCCAGGGCCTTGCGGGATGCTTCAGAAGACTGGAAAATACAACATGGGAGGGGAAGTGCCCCTGAGTGAGTGCCCTTGGGGCTTCCAATGTACACACTGGACACCTGGGCTGGACCCGAGTCCTTGAGAGCAAATGCAATGGGGGTAGCAGCACTGGCTTTGCCAAGCAGGCCATGCTACAGACTACTGCCTCTCTGATGGGCAGGATAGCTATGCTGTCCTCCATTCACCAAGTCCACTCACAGGAACAGGTTCTGAGTCCCATCCTTCCAGAGACTTTCTCAGTAAGGTCAGAGCCGAGGAGAGAAGAAACACCAAGGAGACCATTCCTGGTGTCCTCTAAGGTTCTGCTGGAGAGCTCTCTGGGCCATGTTCCCTGCTGGGATAGTGCTGCTGGTGTCTGCTTTAAGTGCCCTCAGGCCCCCAACCCTAATGGTGCTATGTCTACAGGGTGCGTCTGCCTATACAACTACTAGTAACAGTGACCGCTTGGGTTGGGACTACTGGGAAAGAACATTAAGACCCCTCTTGTCCCATATGCCCTCCACCCCCCTGCCACCTGCTGTACTAGGTTGCTGAAGCATGGAGCCACACAGGATCTCTGCTGGAGCAGAGATACAGCAGGGCCCTGAATCTGACAACTTTTCCTAGTCCCAGTTGAGGCAGTCCCTCCCACTGAGGGTGCCCTCAATGACGCTGAGTGAGGAAAGGAGTCAGGTCAGGCTACCTGTCCACTGCACCCTGAAGGGCCCTCCAAAGATAGGGGCTCCCAGACCCTTTGCATGTTGATCACTGTCCTCCAGGCTCCCTGAGGTTCGACTCCCTGGTTTACGAGTCTAAAGTCTGCTGTCACATTGTACCGCTGGAGGAGGGCAAGAGGGACAATATGGGGTTGGCAGGAGTAGAGGGAGCATCAGGGACAAGGGCCTGCCAAGAAATCCTTCAGGGTACTTTCCCTGTCTTTCTAGCACCCCTGTTCCAAGCCCTCATCTGCTAGCAGGGTGAGCAGGTTAAGTTCTTAGCCTGACAGCCCCAGGGAGGTCACAAATGGGTGGCATCTGTGTGTGATTCCTGACATGTGTCTCTGTTCACATGGTCCCTGGGCTGACTGTGTTCTGCCTGCAGGTACCTGGTGCCAGAAGTTGTTGCCCATGGACAATGGTCTGGTCTGGGCATCAGAGCCAGCACCTATGTCTATTTTTCCCTCAGTTACCTCCCTGAGTGCCTACAGGTAGAAACATGACTCCAGTAGACAATGATCACTGGCTCCCTGCAAGCTACTTCCCCTTCTGCCAGCAGCACGTCCCCATTATCTGGGGACACAACTCTCTCCACTCCTGGCCCCTTACTTCGGGGGCTCCCCTGAAGCCTGGGGCAATGTACCTAAGCGAATTAGCATTTCCCACTGTGGGCTGGAGGGGCTGATATGACCTGCAGGTGGTGTCAGGAGGAGCCATGCAGAGGCCCAGGCAATCACCACTCTATCCTGGTCCCACCTGTGGCCTAGGAATAACACTCTGCTTGTAGAAAGCACAGTCCAGCTCGACTAGAGGTGCCTGACTGCCTGGACTTTGTGGGAAAGAGGCTCCCCTCTGCATGCTCTAGTCTGGGCTGGGTTTCCTGCTCTGCGCTCTCCTGCCAGCTCCTACCCTGCCTACCAAGCAGAAGGGGCACTGGCACCGTCTCTGTGCTCCTTATACAAGAATCCTCAAGACAGCTGTGATGCTTTCAAAGGAATTGCATTCAATGAGTATCACCCAACCATTCTCTTTAAAGATGCATGGTGCGTCACGTGTCACTCTGCTCACCAGAGACAGAGGAGAAAACAAAAAGAGCTCTGCTAGGTGGGGGTCACCCTCCCTGCTCGACAGGCAGGTGTCCTGGCGAGCGCGCAGGGCTGTGCAGCTCGAAGTCTCTAAGCCGACTCTCTCCCCAAAAGTGACCCGTTATTTTCAGATGATCCATAGATGTTTTTTTTCAAGAACTACTTAAACTCACTATATCCTTTCCCCTTCTTTCAAGTTTTTTTTTTTTAAGTGTCAGAATGTTTTATGTTTTAAAAGTTATCTTTATAGTACCCTTAGGCCCGTCTTTCAGATCAGTAGTTTCCCTTTATCTGTACTTTTGCTTTCTGCAGTTTCTGTTACTTGCCATTACCTGAGACCTGGAGACAATATAATAAGATACTGAGGAAGAGAGAGTACAATCCCATCACTTACATTACAGTATATTATATAATTGTTCTATTTTATTATTTCTGGTTAAGTTAGTCTCTTAGTGTGCCTAATTCATAAATTTTGTCACAAGCATATAAGGAAAAGAAAAAAAGATAGTACAGTACTATCTGCAGCTTCAGGTATCCACTGGGGGTCTTGGGATGAATTCCCACAATTGTGGGGGACTCCCACTGTCAATTCCATACTATGGACACTGCTGACATTAACTGGTAGCCTTTGTCTTTCCTCTTCACTGATTTCCCTGCCAAAAGATAACTGAAAGTGGTATTTTTAAAGATCAATTTAGGTAGTATTTTTACTTTTGGTTACTTACCAGTCACGAGCTCTTCTACTTTCTATACCTTCTTAATTTGTGTTTTTACTCTACTATTTGTCAAGTCAGAACATATTTTACATACTGTCACCTTTATTTTTGCTACCTACCACATTATTTCTGTAGTTAAAAACAGGCAATTCCCCCACCCCCCACCCCTACCTCGCCCAACCTTATGTCAAAGCTTCTACAATCATTTTTGGTTGTTTCAATATGTTCTCTACTAGTTTCCTCAAAAGTGGGCAGCTACTTGAATTTATTTACTGTTCTTTACTGCCTGTGCTATTTTGCTGGATAAACACTTGGGTGATAGCATTAAAAAAAAATATTTTCAGGGGCCCTCCCTGGTGGCACAGCGGGTTAAAGCACTGCACTAAGAAACTAAAGCCACTTCCGCATGAGTTCGATTCCCGCCTTCCGGAGGAGACCACATGGCGAGCCAGACCTCTCCTGACCCGCCTGCTGCTCCCCTCAGCAGTGTACTTCGTGGATCTGTCTGTTCTGCTTCCCGCTCTGTCTCTGGTGAATCCTCTTACCCTCCACATCTCTGGCCTGTCCCCCAGTTCTGTACGAATAAATAAATAAATCTTTAAAAAAATTTTTTTTTCAGTTATAAAGTCATTTTTTTTTAAAGATTTCTTTCTTTATGCATACAGAACTGCGGTGTAGGCCAGAGGTGTGGTGGGTGGGTGAGAGGATTTACCAGAGACAGAGTGGGGAGCAGACCAGGAAGATGGGTGAAGTATACTGCTGAGGGGAACAGCAGGCGGGTCGGCAGAGGTCTGCCGCACCATGTGGATCACGCCATGTGGATCACCTCCGGGGTGGGAATAGAACTCATGCTGAGTTCTTAGTGGCTTTAGCTTCTTAGTGCTGCACTTTAACCCAACTGCACCACCAGGATGGGCTTATCTTTAATGGCTTATCTTGAAAACATTATTTTATTTGTACTAACTTTTCCTATCAAAACATTTGATGGGCCTCCCTGCTGGCATAGGGGTTAAAGTCTCAGGATTATCAAGTGGCGCTATCACCAGCCACTGAGACATGAGTTCAGTCATGGCCAGGGAGCTGACCCACAAGGCACAGCAGACCTCTCCTGTCTCCTCACATCTCCCCTCAACAGTGTATTTCTGTAGATCTGCCTGTTCTGCTCCCCACTCTGTCTCTGCTGAATCCTCTCACCACCCACCCCCCATATTTCTGGCCTGCACCCCAGCTCTTGTATGCACAAATAGATTTTTCAAAACAAAATATTTGATGCATCTACTTTCCTTCATGAATGAGTTAGTCTTTTTTTTTAACTTGTTGCCCAAAAGAACTTTTTTAGCCTTTAATGTCCATTAGTTTTACTATATTTTATCTATTTTGTATTGATTTTCCCAGATGTACAACTCTTCCACCACACAGGTTCAAATCTTTTTTCATACTCTCAAAAGTTTTTGTTATTGTGGTTTCTATCATTTATTATTCCATGGTTTTGGTTTTCTTCTCTGTAGGTCTAATGCATGAACTTCTCTGTTTGACCTTATACCTTTTTTTGAACACATTTTCTCTCTAGTTGTTTGACTAGCCTCCCAAACCTCCATTCTACCTCATCTCTCCTCTATCCCTTACTGGATTTTTCATGGTGCCTATTCCTTCCTGTGTCCTTGCTGTATAATGTTCACTTCTGAAATATTTCTGTATTATTTTCCTAATTCTTTCCTGAGTCCTATCAACAATCTTTGCACATTGTTCTTCTGACTGGTCACCTTGTTTCTGAGCTTTCCAAAAACTTTTTATACTACTGTTCAGCAATTTCTATCATTTTCTAATTCTTCTTAGACATTTAAAAATATGAGGGAACAATATTTGACTACTTTGGAGGACTACTGTTCTGGAGTTTTCACTGTAGAATTCTCTGTTTCTCCCCTACAAAGCCTTCATAGAGAGTGTGATCATAATCTATTTCTGTTGCTCATATTTACATGATGTGAATTCTTCTACATTTTCAGCATTCTACATGGAAATCTACATGTGTACAGCTAGAGGGCCTGTCTTCTACAGCAGACTCTCAGTGGAGCACCCTTGTCAGCAATACTGAGCTCTGTCTCATCTAGTGTCTTGGTTTTTCTGCCCTTAGCAGCCCGTCTCTTCCTCAGGGAGGGTTCTTTCCTTTTGGAAGGAAGTTTTTGTTGTATGTTTCTGATCCTTGGGGCTGGGCAGCCCTGCCGGAACCTGAGAAATCTGCCCCCAGTTTTATTTGTTGTTTCTCAGATTCACTTGCTGATGTTTCTGTTCACTGACTAGTGTCTTTGTGAGGAAAGGGAGGAATTTGAGCCATTTCTGGAATCCCTGGCTCACTGGACTGTAAGAACCTTAGCCCCATTACCTCAGCACAGTTACTGATCTGCAGAGAATACCGCCAAACTCTCCAGTGGCTTCTTCTTGCATTCAGAGTCAAAGGTAAGGAGCTTCCAAGGGGCTGTGGGCTCAGCCTGACCCTGCTTCCTCTCACTCTCACCTCCCACACTGGTATCAGTTGGCTCCCACCTAGCCATTTCTTCTACTTGGTTCTCATAACTTTTAGGTATCTTCCCAAATTCTGCTTAATTAGAACACCTTCTTCCCTTTGCCCCTTTGCTCTCCTGGCTACTTTTTTTTTTTTTTTTAAAGATTTATTTATTTATGCTTACAGAGCTGGGGTATAGGCCAGAGGTGCAGGTGGTGAGAGGATTCACCAGAGACAGAGGGGGGAGCAGAACAGGCTGACTGACTTAGTACACTGCTGAGGGGAGCAGCAGGCAGGTCAGGAGAACTCCACTGCACCATGTGATCAAGCTTGTGCTGAAGCGGCTTTAGCTTCTTAGTGCTGTGTTTTAAACCGCTGCGCCACCAGGGAGGGCCTGCTCCTGGCTACTTTTAGCTATGGCCCTTTCATCATCTGACCTGTTATGTTTATGTGTTCACTGTCACTCTCAGAAGAATACATGGCAAAGAGGGCATGGATTCTGTCTACTCTATCCACTGCTCTATTTCTAATGCCCAGAACAGTACGTAGCAACTAACGGGAATCCAAGAATAGTGAGTACCGGAAAGGGGACCCAGGTTGGTGCATGCTCCAGCCTGTCAGTCCCTGTCATTCATGGTCTTGAGTCTCATGAAGGCAGCAGTTCTCCTGCCCCTCTCCCATTTCACCTAATCCAATTTCACTCCCTGAAGTCCCCTATTAAGCCCAAGTTCCTATAAGAAATCTTCCTTAATGTTTCCACTGCACATTGGTTCTGCCACATCCCTTCTGTTTTATAGAACACAATGAACAGAATTCTTATCCATTTTGAGAAGGATAAGTTACAGATAGCCATTATAGCAGACACACTACTGGGCATCTGAAATGTGGCAAATCCAACTGTAATAAGTACATACTACACAGCAGTGTAGTTTACTCAGCAGTGACTACAGGGGAAGAACTTTTAAAGTCACATAAAGGCCTATGTAGGCCAGACTATGTCGGGCCCTGGGGATCTCCAGGGCACTGTTGCCAGTCACATTTGTAGGTGTGTGGGACCATGATGCCTGAGTTATGGAATTTGGCAGAAGTCAGATATGTGGCTTTTCATATGTGGCTCTACTCATGGACTATTTTCATACTGACCAATAGTACACACATTGTGTTATACTAGAGGAAGGAAGTGATCAAATATAGCCAAGGTTGTGTGAAAAGGAAGCAGGAACCAATTTCTGTATGGAATGTGGATACAAACTGCCATGACTTGAAATACACTAAGTTGTTTTAAGCTTCAAGTTCACAATTAAAAAATTAACACATTGAGAGAAAAATAAAAAGAACTTAAAACATAAAAAAAATTGGTGAAAAAAAGGGAAAGAATGGAAGACTTATTCTGCATTTCCTATGTGAACAGTTTCTCAGGTCTCATGAGAGGAAGGTTCTCATTACGGAAGTTTTCCAGCTAATAAACAGAAGAATAATGGAGTTAGAGGGTTATCATTTTGTAGCTCCTAATGATTGAGCAAGTCTAGGCACTGCTCCCCAGGGACAGACAAACTGACATGCGGCAAGACTGCCAGCTGCTACATCCCTCTGGGAAGTAGTGGCGCTTCAATTCTGCCCACAAGTAGACCTGTCCTCCAAGACACAAACAACTGAATGAGAATGTGGCCTGCTCTCACTACTTAACCCCAACTTACAGAAATCAGGGCACAAAGGAAACTGTTAAAATGCCAGCAGGGATCTATCAGAAAAAAACAGACACATATGACTCAATTCCTTCAACAAATTACAACGGGGGGTGGGGGTGGGGTGGGGGAGGAAATAGAGATGGAGCAGAAATACAGAGAAAAAGCAATTTAAGAGATATATTAACAGGCTGAAATGTATGTAACCATCTCCATGTACCTCAAATGGTGAGCATACAAGTATTTGTGAGTAAGGAATTAATTGCTTATGCTTGATTATAGGCGGGCAGTGACTCAGGCAGCGTGTGTGTGTTGGGACACCAGACTGAGCCTGGTTTACGGTCTCCACCCCAAGCCAGGAGGAACCTCTATGCCCAAGACACCCCAAGTACCCTGGGGGTCAGGCTTCAACACAGAAGGTGATGGCAGTCTGGGCTCTTCCTCTGGCTTTGACCCCCACTAAGCAGACCCTCTCACCTCTGGAGCCGGGTCCATGCTGTTGGCTTTTCTGCTCCCACTGCTGCTGCCCAGCTGCTTGGGTGATGTTTTCTGGAGGAAGTCAGAGATCCTCTGAACCAAGAAATCCCGGTCTTTTAGGTTGGCAAACAGGAAGGTCATTTTGCTCTTGGTGCTTATGGACAAAGGGCTGGGCAAGACACTGGAGCTATCAGCTTTTTCGACAATGGTCACCTGAGAAGATAAAAACTGTCTTGGGCATATGCATACTGAGAAGCTAGATGGCTTTGTGAACATGAACACACTGAGGCCTCAGGTTTTCCTCTTTTAGACATAGCGAGGAAATGAACACAGGACTCTGCACATGGCTGGATTCATAGTCTGATTCTGCCTGGTGACCCTGACCTTGAGCCAGTTATGTACATGTCTTAGATTCATTTCGTCACCTGTTGATAGGGTGGTCACTTGGTCCCTGCAGGACTATCATGAAGCTGTGACACAGATGTAAAGTTGTAAAGTCTGAGCCCAATGCTGGTCCGGATCAACTTCCCTAGATGGCTAATTACCCCCATCCTCTGAAGCATAGTGGACAGCTTGTGCACACCGCCTCAGCACTGTTCCTGGAACATTTTCTGACAGTTTTGTGTTCTGCATACAGCTCTGACAGGAGGCATGTGGACAGAACAGCATAGGTGTAGAGGGCAAAGGATAAGTTTTCAGGGGATGCCTCTACAGAGTCTACATCCTGGGGTGAAGAAAGACAGATGAAGGCTAAATGCTATAAGCCAGGACTAAGTAGGTGTGACAGCACGATTGGGGAGGCCACTGGGCCGCTTCTTGCTAAAGGCATGTCGAGAAAGGTAGCAACTAAGTGGAACCTCAGACTTTAGGTCTGACATGGTGTAGTTAGGTGGGGAGCTGGGGCAAAAGCCCAGCAACTGCCCCACGAAGAGCACCAGACTGGCCTGAAAGATAGCAAAAGGCAGCAGAGTAAGTGGGATTGTGGGTGTGTTTGAATGTGTATATGCATGTAGTATGTGTATGCCTGTTCAGGTGTGTGGTGCACACACACACACACGCGGGCACGCACACACACTATGCAGTGCGCGCAATGGATTTGAGTGTATGATGCAATGGCATGTGAGACTGGAATGCATGCACAAACGTTTGCATGTGTTCACACACATGTACAACACATGATAATGTATACATGTGCACATGCATGTTGACCAGGCACACAGTATTTATGTCTATGCATGTGCATGTGTGCTGAATGTGTCCATGGCTGTGTGAGCCAAGGTATGAGAAGGGCTGGCTGGTTTACCAGAGGCCACATAGGTCATGGTATCATGGCATACAGCTGGGGATGCATCTAATCACCAGGTGACTTGGAGAATCCCATATGGGGCACCCACATGCTCTGACATTTTACCTTACACTTGCTCCCACAGAGGAGGGGTCCTAACTGAGTTAGATGTGGGTAGGATACTCCCAAGGTAACCCAGACAAATGATGAGTGAGGCCAAGTCAAATCAAAGACAACTTTACTTTTCACCTGAGGGGGTGGTTGGTAGGGGGTGCTTCTCCACACAGAAGATGAGAAGCACCTATCTGGGAACTATCCAAGAACCATAGCACATCTCGCTCAGTGATTGAGCGAGAGTCCCTAGGCAGCTAAGACTAGGACGCTGAGGACTAGGGGCTGGGCCACTGGCCTCCATCCTGATCAGCTCAGGGTCCTGTCCCAAGACGTGAGATCAGTCTTACAGCTCAAGATGATTCTGCTCCCTGGCTCAGCTAGAGCTGTCTAAACGTTCCTAAGTTGGAGACCCTGTACTTGCCAGACTTCAGGGTCAGATAAGTACAGCACAAGGCCACAGGGCTGGGTACCAAAAGGGAACATGATTTAGGGGCCAACACTTGAGACCCTTAACTTGGAGCTTATGATCTATGGCTCTTTTGAGTCCTCTGCCTCTTGATTTCCATTGGGGAAAGTGAGGCAGCACAGTACCTCCTATACCTATTCACACCTATACCTGCAATTTGAGGGCTTTGTACAAATGCCAGGGAGGTCTCACTGCTCCAGGCTTTACTGCAATCAAAATACTATGGCGTATATTAGAACTTAAGAACCTCATTTACTTCACATAATTAAACACCTAGTTTGCCCTAGGTCAGAAGGTAAAGGAGGTCTTGGGAACTGCCCTGACCCCAGGGTCAATGCTTCCTTCTGGGAGGGAACTCTTGCTCACTGTCCACACCCTTCAGTGCAGCACAAGACAGATGGGTCATATGGAGACTCAAAGACATGACAAAAAATACCCCTGAAAAGTGAGAGTTGATGCCAGTTGACAGATGAGCTTGACAGGTGAGAGATGCCACCCACCCATGAGAGCTGACCTCTGATGAGTCCGCTAGAGCCTCACCACAGGCAAATGCTGACTGAGGTGGCCTGAGTGTGACAGGGTGGGGCTGGTGAGGGGACAGTGTCCTCTGAGGTCAACAAGAGCAAGGCTGAGTCCAACTGTGGGCCCTTCTAGAAGGCAGGGCTGAGACACTCACCTGCAGGCCACTGGGCCGGTCCTTCCTGAAGTTTTTTAAGTCCTTCATGCACTGCTGGAACATCAAAGCCCAGCTAATACAGGAAGTGACCTGGTGTACACTACTCCCATCAGGCAGGGGCTGAGGATGATGCCCTCCACTAAGTGTCAAAGGCCTAGGGTGGGAGGGATCTCCTATTAGGTACCCCAGCTGGGGACCTGCTGCTCACCTCTCGCAGGGGTATGATGAGGTGGCAAGCGTCCTCCTCCTTGCTGGCAAAGCAGATGTAGTTGCCAGAGATGAACATCTGGCCAGGGATATGCAGTTTGTTGAAGGGGGTCCACAGGGTGCAGTCCGTGTGGCCATCTAGGCGCTCATCTTTCGGCAGCCGGAATGTGGCTCGGTAGCACTCATTCTTGGCCCGGGCGTCCAAATCTCTACAGAAACCAAGGTGAGGGGCTTTAGGGCCTTGGCTCTAATTACGTCAGATTAGGGCGTTCTGGGGTCCTACATTGAAGAAGTTGTGCCCAATATATATGCATGTTAGAAGGCCAAGGGACATTCATTTGACTAGCAGGAGTGGTCAGCAAACAGCATGTCCCTGAGACTGTGGGCTATGGGTGGACACGTGGAGCTGATGAACTGTGAAAGACTGAGGGTGGGCAGTGCGTGAGGCCCTCCCCCAAGTGTGATGCCTTTACCCCAGGCCACTGTTTCTCACTGGGAGGACCCAAATCCACCTCGAAACCACACAAGGACCTCCTTCTGATAGCTGTATTGAGTAGTTAACACGAGTTGTTACTGCTGAATGGAAAATACTTACCTGTTCATGTGAGGGTGCAGCTCACGACTCTGCTCCTCACCCCAGGGTAGCTCTGACCTCATAAACACCTCTCCTTCCCTAGCCCCATGGGGGCTACCTGCACTCGGAGCAAGGCCTGGTGGGTCCACCTTCATGGACAACACCAAAGACCTTCAATTCCCAGTCCCATTTGCTCCCTTTCAGCAAGAGTCCAAAAGCCACTCTTATTTCCATCATAAAAGATGTCTGGATAGTGTCTAGCCCTGAAGATACACCCCAGAATCTGGGCTTGGTAAGAGTCTAGCTGGGAGATGGTCTCTGAGCACAGGTGTAGGACTCAGGTTTAGGGAACCTCTGAGTTCCCAGCCAACCTTGTGAGTTTCCTGTGACGCTACAATCAAGGAGTGCAAACTGAAGTGCTCTGGGGGCCCCAGCCACCATTATTCATTCCTCTGTCTAGCGCTTCCCAAAGAGGGTACGCTGATAGGCCCGCATGTGGCTCCCCTCCCCGCCTCAAACTTCTTGTGAGCCCAAGAGGCCTGGGCCCCATAGCTACCAGGCCTACGGTAGTACCATAGGAAGAGTGGTCATTCATATAGGAGCGAGGCTGGGTTTCCTGGGAGCAGATCATAGGGGCAGTCTCTGCTTCTCTGGTGGTGTCCTGACCAAGGCAATGGGAAGGTGGGCTGGCAGCCAGCTGCTTAGTCACACCCTGGTGCCATTGCTCACTTGTTGAGGGGACTTAGGTGAATTACTTCTCTGCTTCCTGTCCAAGACCATGGAGCATAAGAACACCTACCTCCACATCACAAGGCTGCAAGAAATAACATGGGATACACTCCTCTATGTCAGTGGCAGGTAGAATAGGAACCGCTGAAAATCTCTTGGTGCTCTCCCTGTGTTCTGTGCAACCATCCCTTTCCCCGATCTCCTTCCCACACGGGCAGCCCTCCTGCCCCAGGGCAACGCACCGCTTTAGTGCCGAGATGTTTCTGTGTGGCCGGGCAGGCCTGGGCAGCGCCTTGTCTTCCAGGAAGCCCTCACTGTCCAGCAGCTGCCGCATGGCCAGGTTGGCCAGTTGCCCCATGAGCTTGAAGGTCTCACCGATGTTGAGGAACATGGAGAAGAAGAGCTCCTGGTCCCGGGTGTCCACACGGATGCTCTCAGGGAAGAGCAGGGTGGCATTCTTCTCTAGCCGTGTGACGTCCACCCACTGCACCACCAGGCTCACTGGATGCCCACAGGGACAGACATACCACCAGGTCATATAGGCTCCTGACTCCTACCTGCTCCAGAACCCACTGAGGGAACCACTTACACTGTGAGCCTTGCTGTGCTGGGAAATGCACTTCAACCAGCAGTAGGTGGTTAAGGTGGCACATGCCCAAGATATCAAATAACCTAAACAACTCAGGGACCACAGTGCCCTTCAATGCTTGACTTAAAAGAAAGAGGGAAAGCCATGTGCAGAGAGTCATTATGTGAAGAACCAGGCTAGTGACTACAGATTGGAGCACTGAGGTGGCAATGGGTTTAAGGGAGATCCTCTGGTGGGTATGTGTCAGAGGGAGACGATCTGGGGGCTGAGAGAAGAAGAACACTTAAGAACTGTGGTAGTCTAGAGAAGAGGAACTTTCTGTAGGTGAGGTCTGGGCGTGAAGGCAGAGGAACTGACCAGAGTGGAATCAATTGGGAGGCTGGAGAAAGGGGCCTGGCTCACCTTCCTTCCCCAGCAGGAAGGAGTAGAAGCACAGGTGGTTGACGGTCAGATAGAGCCAGCCCTGCCGGGGCACTCGGCCCTTCCAGTAGCTGCAGGAGTAGTAGTTGACCAGCTTTTCCCCCTCAGGCATCCCAAACTGTTTGCGCATCTTGAGCTCGGCCTCCTTGAATTTCCCAGGGTCCTCATCTCCCTGGGGCTGCAAGTTCTTGTTCTCTTCTGCAATGATGCCCTGAGAAGGACAAGAAGATTGGTTCCCAGAAGGTTAGGGTTTCCCCATGATTTGAGAGGGGGAGAATGGGAGCAGAGAAGTATAGGGACTCAAGACAGTAGAACTAGGACTCCTGCACAGAGGACTAAAGGCCACAAGGAGGCTACTCTGGCACATAGTTGGACAAACTGCTAGTAACTCCCTAAACTCTTATCACCATTGACCTGGTAATTTTTCAAAGAAACATTTTGCATATAAAATTTAAAAATATATATACTACATAAACATGGTTAAAACAGCGTATTTGGTGAAAAGGGAATGTCTCTCTCATGCCCTGTAGCCACTCTGCTGGTTTCCTCCTCGCAGACAATGATACTTCTTTAAGCAAATACCTGCAGGTTTTCTCTTTTCCATTTTCTTTATCTAAATGGGATAAACTATGGCACTGTTTAGGAGAGTGCTATTCTTGCAATGGACAGATATAAAGATGATCTGTGTTTGATACCACCCCTCACCATATCTACCAGAGGGCTCCTGTTTCTTGCCCCTGTCCATAGACAGGAACAGGTCCTACTCACCCAACTGAAGGATTCACTGAGCCAAGGGCCAGAAGACCAATGGCGGGGCCCGCCCAGATCAGGGTTCACCCAAATCAGGACTCATTAACTAGCTCAGGGTATATCTATATTGTGTCCTACCAGCATCTTCACTGGGCTCAGGGTGCCCAGAGAAACTACCCTGGGCCAACCCTAAACCTGTTGGTGTAAAATATTCTTGGAACACTTGGCTCTAAATGTACACAAGATTTTCTAGATGACTACTTGATAAGCTAAGGCATTCAAGGCTACTGTGGGCCCTATTCTGCAGCTTGTGCTGGACCTCCTATCCTCCATTCTTGGCCAAGGAGGACAGCTATAAGCTTGGATGTGTACCCAATATAGGCTGTGTGCTTTGATATATTCTCTCTGGCACTAATGAAGGTGTTACATCAATACCTTCTCTCTCAAGCTGCCTCTGGTGCCTACTGGGTGTTCTTGTAAGAACTAGATCTGTATCTGGGCAAAAGGCTCTGGTAAAGTGTTCTCTTTTATTAAGGATTAGTATTTGCCTCTTTTTAGGCCTTGATTCTACCAGGAAGTGACCCTGCCAATGAAAGTACAAGGTGGGCCTTGGATGGCTGCCTGCCCCCTGGTCACCTTTTGGGGTCTCAGCTGGCAATCCCTATTTCTCCACTCCCTCTAGTTGTACCTGGGAGATTTTCCAGGCAGGGAGCAGAAGGGTTCATATAATCTAGCCTGCATTCTCTACTCTGGTCTCTAAACAGGAGCATGGTCCCTGCCAATGGGAATGAGTCAGCCTGGCTAACAGGATTGGGATTTTGTTGGGTGATAGAACCTGGCTGTAAATACCACAGAGGAAGCTTTAGATTACTGATTCAATTTCATTAATAGTTTTAAGCATTTTTCTGTTACTATGCCTTCCTGAATCTCAGTTTAAGTTATAAAATGTGGTAGGCAAAAAAAAAAAAAAAAAAAGTGGTAAGCCAAATAATGCCTCTCCCACAGATGTCCACATTCCCAATACCCAGAAACTGGAATGTGGCTTTGAAAAGCCACAGGGACTTTGCAGATGTGATTAAATAAGGGTTAGAATTAGGGTCAGGGTTAGGGTTAGGATTTGAGATGGGGAGATGATCCTGGATTATGTAGGTGAGCCAAATTATAATCACAAAGGCCCATATAAAGGGGGAAGCAAGGGAATCAGAGCCATAAAGGGGTGAGTTTGAGTGATGGTAGCATTAAGGATGGAGGACAAGGTCAAAGTCCAGAAAGCAGATAGCCCATCAAAACTGTAAAAGGCAAGGAAATGGGATCTTTGCTTAGGGCCTCTAGGAGGACATGATCAACACTTTAATTTTAGCAATCTCAAGTTTTTTCTTACTTACTCAATTATATACCTGAAACCCATTTTAGATGTCTGACCTATAGAACTGTCATATAATGAATTCATATTTGTAGTTTAACTTGTTACAGAATTGGAAATGAATATATATTATTCTAATAAAGTACCCATCTTGTCTGAAATCTTTAGTGACAAAACAGTTTATGACATTCTTTCTCTCTTGCTCTTTTAAAACTGTTCTTTTTTTATAGGTGTTTCTTGTTTCATTCCTAACACTATTTGGGGTTTCTGTCTTTTGTTCTGGATACCTTCTGCCATAGGTTTATTTATATTTTTAGATCTCTTTTTGAATCTGTTCCTCTTCTCTATTGTTGCTTAACTTCTATAAAATTAACTTTTTTCCTTTATTATCTTTATTTCTAATTTCTTGATTCTCTCAAGTTTTTTTTCTCACTGAATTGGACATCTGACTCATTAATTTCCATCTCTTTTTCTTCTTTTTAAATTTTCTATCCTTTTTTTTAAGATTTAAGATTAAAAGTTTTCTTCTGTATACAGCTTTTGCTACATTCCATAAATTCGGATATGCAGTATTATTCCAATTATTGTTTGTTTCGAAATATTTCCTAATTTCCATTTCTTCTGTGACCCATGAATCATATAGAGCTTTTTTACTTGTTGGTTGGGCCTGACATATAGGAAAGCATTCAACAATGTTATTATTATTGTTATTGTTATTATCTAGCTTACATAGGAAAGTAGAGTCCTGCCTGGCTCTCTTCACCTATTTACCTGATGTTAGCAGGCAACATACCTTGAACCCCGAAGTACACAGAAAAAAGGTACTCTTGGTGTAGTGTCCCCAGATCTAGAAAGTTCTGGTAGATACTGCAGGCCCCACCCAGATTGGTGAGACCCTAGATCCTGATTGGGGAGGGAGCCAGAGTAGTCAGAGACCTCACGGCTTGCCATGGGATGCTGCTAGCTTCTGCCCAGACCAGCGGAGGTCTGGTGACTCTCAGTGAGATCTTGCCAGTGCATGTAAGGACCAGACATAGCCAGTGCCTGCCCAGACTGATAAAGCCTCACAAACTTCTACAGGATGCCTCCAGCACCCACCCTGACATACAAAGTCTGTGACTTCCCAGAGATGCTGCAAGCACCTACAGAGACTGATGAGATTCTGACTCCACATCAGGGAATGGGCCAGGGGGGCCAGAAGTCTCATGATCTCCTGTGAGACCCCAATAGATGAGACCAGTGAGGGTGGAGGAGCCATGACCTGAGGAAATACCACATATTACAGTTGTTTCTAAAGCTAATAATAGGCAGAAAGGGAACCCTAACAAATGGCAACACGAGTCTCCAAGTGCATAGTACCAATATCCCTAATGAACACAGCTCTATAAAAGTCTTGAATAAAATCTTAGCAAACCAAATGCCACAATGAATTAAAAGGATCATATTCCATGACCAATTAGGATTCATACCAGGAACACATGGAAGGTTCAACATATAAAAATCTATCAATATAATTCACATCAACAAAACAAAATTTAAAAACCATATGATTATATCAATAGATAATGAGATAGCATTTGATAATATCCAACACCCACTTATGCTGAAGACCCTCAAAAAAGCAGGGGTAGGCCACCCCTGGTGGAGCAACAGGTTAGGACACAGCACTACAAGCTATCTGCAGCCACTCAGTGCAAGTTGATCCCCAGCCCAGGAAGTGACGCACATGGTGCAGGAGACCTTTTTTTTTTTTTTTTTAAAGATTTACTTATACATATAAAACTGGGGTACAGGACAGAGATGCAGGGGCGGCAACAGGCTTCACCAGAGACAGAGAGGGGAGCAAATAGGCTGACCAATAAAGCACACTGCTAAGGGGAGCAGTGGGCGTTTCAGGAGAGGTCTGCCGCACCATGTAGATCACCCCAGGGCGGGAACCTGCACTCATGCTGAAGTGGCTTTAGCCCCTAAGTGCTGTGCTTTAACCCACTGCGCCACCAGGGAGGGCTCAGCAGACTTCTTTTTTCTTACCTGCTGCTCCTCTTAGCAATGTACTTCATCAATCTACCTGTTCTGTTCCTCACTGTCTTTGGTAAATCCTCTCAGTGCCTCTATACTTCTGGCCTATACCCCACTTCTGTATGCATAAATAAATAAATCTTAAAAAAAATGGGGATAAACAGAACATAACCGAATATAATAAAAGCCATTTCCAAAAAACCTCTGGCTAGCACCATTCACAATGGTGACAAACTGAAAGCTTTTCCATTAAGATCTGGTACAGGACGAGAATGTCCATTCTTACCATTGCTACTTAACATAGTATTGGAAGTTCTAGCTAGAGCAATTATACAAGAGGAACATATAACAATTGGGAAAGAAGAAATAAAGCTATAATTATTTGCAAATGACTTGATAATATAGAGAGAGAACCTTTAAGACTCCATGAAAAAAGTAACTGAAACAATCAGTTTAGCAAACTGGCAGGTTGTAAAATCAACACAGAAATCAGTTATTTTGCTATTACACAAACAATGAGACAGAGAGGAAGAAATTAAGAAAGTGACCCAATTTACAATTACAATAAAATATTAAATACTTAGTTAAGCATAAACCTAATAAATGAGGTAGAAGATCAACATAAAGAAGACTATAAGGCATTACTGAAACAGAAAAGGACACACACACAAAAAATATTTTCTTCTCATGGATTGGAAGATCAACATTGACCAAAATGGCCTCTCTACACAAAAAAATATACAGATTCAATGTAAACCTAGTAAAAATATGATGTGTATTTCAAAGAACTGTAACATTTGTTACTGAAATTCATATAGAATCATGGAAGACCCTGAATAGCAAAAGCAATCTTGACAAAGAAAGAGAATGGAGGTATCACACTTTTAGACCTCAATCTATACTATAAAGCCACTATTATAAAAATTGTCTGGCACTGGAACAAAAACAGACACACAGACCAATGGAATATAACTGAGAATCCAGATGCAAACTCACATACATATGGACAGCTAATCTATGACAAAGGAGCCAAAAACAAGCACTGGAACAAGGATAGCTTCTTCAATAAATGATTTTGGAAAAACTGGACAGCTGAATTCAAAAGAATGAAACTAGATCACAATCTTACAGCATATACCAAAATGAACTCAAAATGGATCAAAGACTTGGATATAAAATCTGAAACCATAAAATACATAGAAGAAAACACAGGCAAAACATTTTGTGACATAAGCTTTCATCGTCTTTAGGTATCTGTCCCCAACAGCAAGGGAAACAAAACAGTATATAAACAGCTGGGACTATGTCAAACCAAAAACTTCTGCACAGGAAAAGAAACCATAATTAAAATGAAGACACCCCACTGCATGGAGAAAAAAAAGTATATATATATGCCACACTGCTGACAAGGAACTGATTATCAAAGACATACAAAGAACTCAAAATGCTACAAAAACAAAACAAATAACTCAATCAAAAAATGGGTAAAGTAGCAAAACAGACACCTCTCCAAAGAAGACATTAAAGTAACTAGCAAGCACATGAAAAAATGTACATACTCACAATTAGTGAAATGCTAATCAATACCACAATGAAATAATAACTCATACCTGTGAAAATAGTTCAGAAATGGTTCAGATTGAAAAGGCCAGAAACAAGTGTTGTTGAGGATGTGGAGGAAATACTATACTACTGGTGGGAACGAAAACTGATCCAGCCCTTATGGAAAGCATTATGGAGGTGTCTAAAGACATTAAGTATGGAACTATCATTTAACCCAGCAGTTCTACTCCTAAGTACCTACTCTAAAAATTCAAAACATTAATTTGAAAGGAAACTTGCACCTTCATGGTTATTGCAGCAGTATTTACGATAGCTAAGCTATGGAAACAACCTAAGTACCCTAGAACAGATGACTAGATCAAGAAGATGTGGTGTATGAACACACACACACACACACACACACACACAATGGAATACTGCTCAGCAATCAAAAAGATAATCTCATGCCATTTGTGGCAACATGAATGAAGCTTGAAAGGCTAATACAACGTGAAATAAATCAAAAGGAGAAAGAGAAATACTGGATAGTGTCACTAATATGTGGAATATAAAGTAACTAAATTAATAGTCATAAAAAGACAAGCTGAAAACATAATCCTTGACAACTGAATGTAGAACTGATACATCTGGGGGGAAAGGGGAATGGAGAAAGAGCAAAGAGGAAAGAAGCCCGATGGTCTATGGTGGTGGAATATGGGTGAGTCGGTGGTGGGTACACTATGGTGCCTGATGGAGGTATCCCAATATTGCCTCAGTTAAAAAAAAAAAAAAAGTAAAAACAACGAATAAAGTTCTGGTATTATGATTCTTACAAGAGCCTGCCCAAGACAACTTTGAACCATAAATTTTTTTTTTTTTAAGATTTTTATTTATTTATTCATATAGAACTGGGGTACAGGCCAGAGATGCAGAGGGTGAGAGGATTCACCAGAGACAGAGTGGGGAGCAGAACAGGCAGATCTACGAAGTACACTGCTGAGGGGAGCAGTGGGCAGGTCAGGAGAGGTCTGCCACGCCATGTGGTCTCCTCCGGGGCAGGCAGGAATCGAACTCATGAGGAAGCGGCTTTAGATTCTCAGTGCTGTGCTTTAACCCGCTGCGCCACCAGCGAGGGCCCTGAACCATGAAATTTTAACACAGTAAAAGCCCTCCTACGAATCTAACTTAGGCACTAGCAAAGAAAAAGATACAAATACACTACTCAGGTAGACACTCATTGTAGTGTTAATTATCCTCAAAAGAGGAAATAACCTAAATATCACAGTGGTATTAGTTTTCACACATTACTACACTTTTCAGTCAGTCACTTTCATTTTGCAGAAAAGAGAAGAGAAGAGCAGCTTCCCTTTGTGCCCTGGGCCTGGAAGGCATTGTTTTCATTTGCTGACAGTGTTGCAGGGAATCTCCTGATATGTCATTCTGCATATATGAATACTCCGTAGGGTGAAGTCCAAGGAATGGAATTATAGGGTCAAAAGGTTTGTGCTTTTGTCAGTATTATTAAACAAACATGTTTCAAACTCTTCTGTACTTTGCAACTCCTTCCTATGTTAGTCATGCAACTTGCCATCCCAGCTATATACCTGCATATTTACTCTAAGGCCCTGATGCAGCCAAAGGTAGTGGCCTGCTGATGAGTATGAATAGAAAAAATTAAGAGACAGAAGATCCAAGAATGCTGTTTTGCCTAATTATCTGTTTCCCTAAAATTGGGACCTCCCTTGACGGCGCAGGAGATGGGAAACAGCCTCACAATCTTATCACCCCAGTCTAAGCCTTACAAGGTCCGGAGGTGAAATTCCTTTTCTTTTAATTGCAAAGCTGCACTAGAATGACCAGGTGAGAGGGTCCACTAGTCTATGTATGGACCAAAGTGTGCAACTATGAAAGTTTATCTTTTCTTGTGTCAATTTTATTGTGTTCGAACCTGTGACTTAGAAGGGTGGAGGAATAACAGCTTGCTCTCCAGAAGCCCTCTGCAGGCGTGGAAACACCAACTGAAGTTTAGTGAGACTCCAGTGGCTAGCCAGAAAAGACAGGGCCTTCAAAGGCAATGAGTTTAACTGCCCTTTCAACACCAAGTGGATGGAAGCATACACTTTGTTTCCACCTCTGTAAAGTGGGGGTAAGACCTACAAAGTGCTGTCTGAAAATTAAGAAAGACCACTTAAGTGAGCACTGCCAGCCCAGAGGACATGAGAACTGGTAGGTGATCCTTACATGTATCTTGCCTTTGACAAAGGTGGTGATATCTTCCTCATTGTCAAATATGGACAGCGTCTGGAGTAGGTTATTTTCCAGCCATTCCCAGTGTTTTGTGATTTCTTTGCGAGAAGAACCTAGGTGAGCAAGAATAGGAAAATCATAAAATCACCGGACCATAAACACAAATTCAAAGAGAGATTGGATGGCCTCATATGGTATACCCAACTGATTATAATTCATTCTTCCTCATTACGCTTTATATATAAATTTAAAAATTAAGCCCCCACTCCCTGCCCAGCAAACAAGTCTGGGAGGTTTGAATGGATAAAAGCAGTGGATTAGGAACTGATCTTTATGCTGATGATATGGTTATTAGTCAGCATACACCCAGGACTAGTCCCCCTAGTAAGTCAGTGAGCCCAGGATACTCTCTATGCAGCAGACCTCTCCTGTCTTACCGGCTGCTTCTCCAAGCAGTGTATCTCAATAAATCTGCCTTTACATTTCTCCACTCTGTCTCTGGTGAACTCATTAACCCCTGCACCTCTAGCCTACACTCTGATTATTTCCCAAAACAATCTGTATACAACAAGAATTATAATGATCAAACCCAGAATCACACAATTTACAGTGAGTCATAATAGACAAAGTAAAATAATTTCAGCCAGAGTCAGTCACATGGAAAATAAAGCCTCCATCCTTTCCTAAAGCTAAGTAAGTGAGCACTAAATTTCTATTATCCTTCCAGAAATTATCCACACATCTGCAAGTTTGATTATGTACACAATTTTTCTGCAACACGACAGGGCTCAATGGGGTCTGTGGTATACATGTGATCATATGGACTTGGTATTAAGTGACTACAACTCTCCTCACAATTCAGGTGTCCAGGAAAGGCAGCTGGGGCTTCCTGCAGGGCTCCAGACCTCGGCCAGCTGGTTTACTGCTGGGGGGCTAACATCTCCTAGACATCATTCAGAAGCCAGACATGTCCACTCAGGAAATGGGAAAACTAAGAAAAGGTAACATAAAGCTATATCCAAAGGGAGGGAAAAGCAATTCTTCTGCTCCCTTCAGATAAATGGAAAAGGGGTCCAATTACCTGAATTGGAAAAGGAGGAGAATCAAAGGATAAAAGGTACCTCCACCTGCCCAGACTTCCTCTGCCCCTTCAGAAAACCTTTTTATTGGGGTGGGGGGGTTTGCATATTCCTGGCATGAGGTTTATACTCAAGAATTGTCTTGTGAGTAATGAACACAAGATTAAGAGAAGCATGAAGAGCTGTCTTGGGTAACAGTCTGCTGTGAAAATCCAGAAACTCTAGTCAAACCAGTGACCCAGCAGCTGGCACGTTTGGCAAGGAGGGAACATTATCATGTAAGACGCAATCTGACACAGCTATGCCCCACTCATTTTGCTGGGGCATCTCATCCCACCACCCCATCCTTCCTTACAACACTTTTCTGCCAACTGACTCTATTTCAGCTGGCTGAGATGGCCCCTGTCCAGGCCCTTGCTCATTGTTCTGTCACATGTCACAGCCAGTCAGTCTTGGTTAGCTTAGGGATGATCTGCTTGTTTTGTTACACTTGCCTAAGCAGCTCACTACCCTAACAACAAGTCTGTGGGAAAAATCCCCCCAGGTTTACAGTGAAACACATCTAAAAAATGACTCCTGGATCAGGCACACATCTTTTTTCCCTTTCATTTTTCTTTGCATCTGTATTATGGCTTCCTTTTCTTTTTTAAAGATTTTTATTTTTTTATGCACACAAGAATTGGGGTGTAGGCAAGGGGTGTGTGAGAGGATTCACCAGAGACAGAGTGGGGAGCAGAACAGGCAAATGGACTGAAATAAGAGGAGGGGTTCAGCCGGGGAGACAGGAGAGGTCTGCTGTGCCATGTGGGATGGAACTCAGGCCACAGTGGCTGTGATAGCTTGATAGAGCTGAGACTTAACTCTCGTGCCACCAGGGATGTCCTTTCACTTTCTTTTTACATCACTCTTCATTTTGGTACAATGAATACTTTTTCATCTTGGTTGTAACCCCCGTGAACTTCCACCACTAACTCACCCATGCCTTTCACTGTCTTTTTTAATCAAGAACCCACATTTGAATTTGGAAGTTAGATTTCCATGTAATCAACATTATTGTATCATTGTCCTTTTTTTTTTTTTTTTAAAGAATTATTTTTTATTTGTACATACAGATCTGGGGTACAGGTCAGAGGCTCAGGGGTGGCAAGAGGCCTCACCAGAGACAGAGTGGGGAGCAGAACAGGCAGATTGACGAAGTACACTGCTGAGGGGAGCAGCGGGCGGGTCAGGAGAGGTCTGCCACACCATGTGGTCACCTCCGGGGCAGGCGGGAATCGAACTCATGCAGAAGTGGCTTTAGCTTCTCAGTGCAGTGCTTTAACCCGCTGCGCCACCAGGGAGGGCCTCATTGTCTTTTTTTTTTTTAAAGATTTATTTATTTATTTATTCATATAGAACTGGGGTACAGGCCAGAGATGCGAAGGGTGAGAGGATTCACCAGAGACAGAGCCGGGAGCAGAACAAGCAGATCGACAAAGTATACTGCTGAGGGGAGCAGTGGGCAGGTCAGGAGAGGTCTGCCTTGCCATGTGGTCACTCACCTCCCGGGCAGGCGGGGATCGAACTCATGCGGAAGTGGTTTAAGCTTCTTAGAGCAGTGCTTTAACCCGCTGCACTACAAGGGAGGGCCCATCTTTTACACACATGTTCCTGGCAGCCTAATTGCGTTGCTTCTGTTTTCAGCCACTTTTATTTAACTCTTGGAAGTACTTGGAGACAGGTACCATGATGTTCATTTCATTTGTTTATTTATTGAGATGATCATTATTTAATTAGATCCTTTGTAGGGAATTCAGAACACAAACTGTGAGGATAAATCCATTTGTGGGAGTAGATACAGAATGGAGGTCACCTGAGAGCTGAAGAACAGCTTTGATTATTGGCTGAATTTGTGGGATACCAGCTTTCTGATCAATCTTGCACTCACTACTTTCTCATCTCATTATTTCTCCTCTGTGTTGAAGATATCGACTTCCTGGTGTTGGGTTGAAGGAAGCATTACAGAGATGTTTTGGATGTTCACACACTGATGTCAATGTTGGTGGAGCTGGTAATGACAAATGTGTGGTGTGTCCTACACAGTGGAAGTGGATTGAGAGACAGAGGTCCAGTCACAAGTAGTAAGCCACTGCACAACTGTTTCAGAAAACTTCCTCCCTCGGTGGCACCATGTTAAGAAGGTCAGTATGGTCCTAGGAGTGATGCAGCTCACCGCTTTCTCCCATGCTAACTGAAGGGTTTTGCGGAGGCTCAACAGCTTTCAGGGCACATCTTCATTAAGAGGGTATAAAGGCATTTTGCAGACACTTAAGTATTGCCATTGCCACTATCAACTGGTTTTGTTAGGGTTTAAGAACCTTTTCCTTTTTCTTTTCAAGCCCGGATTTAGTTGCTGGATACTTCCTTTCTGGCACCTTTGCTTAGGTACCTGTGAGGAGACTGGAACTATCTGCCAATCCCTCTCATTAGGACAGGGTTTCTGCGACAGTGGGGCTTCCCTTTCTTAGGGATTTTGGTCTAGGCCTTCTTAACATTGTTGCCAGTATTAGCTTTCTTGGCTTTAGATGTCTTTTCTTAAGTAGCTGTCTTCTCAGCGTTTTTAAACCACCATCTTAAAAGATGGGAAACTGAATTGAGGCCCCCTATGATTTTTATTTTATAGGACGAAGCTGAGACATAGAGAAGTTCAGTATGTTACCCACGGTCACACAGCTGGGGAGTGACCAAAGGATAATCCTAGCGTGGGTTGCCCTGCTGAGCCTAACTTCAGGAAAGCTAGCAAACATTCCATATGAGTGTCCCTGGGGATGTGGCAAGTGTAGAGGAGTAAGAAGAGTGGATACATAGGGCTGGGGAATCTGTGAAGACAGTCTTGGGGGTTGGAGGTGGCTCCAGAGTAGGAAGAGGAGGCTAGCTGGATGCAGGGGACACTGTACATATGGGCCAGACAGGTGTGGTGGGAACGTCAGGTGCCAGGAGTATCCTCTCAGGTTAAAGTGCAGGTATGTGTTGTGGAGGTGGAAGGAGGCAGATCCTGAAAGTTCTTTAATAGCAGGCCAAGAAGTTGGGGTTCTCTGGTCAGGTGCCAGCAGGATCATGTCTGGTTTTGGAGAGTTAAAGTGGAAGGAAAGCTGGGCAGAGGCCAGGGCCCAGCTGGGGGTATGATGGGCTGGGAGGAGGTCAGTGTGATAGTCCTGAGGCTTGGGGCTGGAGTTCCCCAGAACCAAGTCCTGATGTGATCAAAGGGGTTTTCATACAGCCTGGCTACACTCCACTTCTCTCCCCATGATAAGACTGCTCTCACTGCCACTGTCCTTTCCCCATCTGCTCCCTAATAAAGAATACTGCTGCAGCAGAGATGAAAACCTCCAGGGTCTGTTTTAGAGTAAAGCATGGCCTCTGTATACACCAACTTCCTGCACCCGTCTCAGGTACAGCCCCCACCCAACAGGAAGTCCCTATTTTCAGCTGGGAAACCGGCTTCTCTTCTGTCCTTCCCCTACTCCCACCCAGTGCTCCCACTCAGGCTCTGGAACTACAAGGGCACAGCAACTGCAGGCTTCCAGTTTGGCCTAGGATAAATTCTCCTTCTGCACCTTTGTTCAGTCATTTTCACAGAGGGGTGCACAGGTACTGTGAGGAGGAAGACAGCTGCTTAGCTCAGTATCCAGGGCAGGGTCCACCTATAAGAGGTACTGTGTGCAAGCTGCTGTTTCCCTGTGCTTTCAGCTGTTGAACTCTCCCCTCCCAAAGCTGGGATCCAGATGTCCTATTTACTCAGGTCTCCAAGGAAAACCATTCTTCCTCAGGGAGAGTGACACTGTGGCTTCTAGCGCAGAGAGGATTCAGAATATCGGATATGCAGATGCTCTGGGCCTGAACAGCAATTCTGTGTGATCCTGCTAGGGCTGGTTACCTAACCCCTTTGGCATATGGTTTCCTTACCTTCAAATAAGAGAACATGGGCTTGAACACGAGCATCCAATTATATGTGTATTTTTTCCTATCTGTGGGTTCTGAAACACCAAATTCGCCAATGCTGCTCCCAGGGGGGATGTGGAGCTAAGTTTCTGAGGACCTTGGCCATATTTTCATCAGTGCTTCAACACATAACTGTTTTATCTGTCCTTCTGTTGAAAGACATCTTATTTAATGTATATTGTCAAGTCACTGACACTGAATCCAAAGCTTGCCGCACTTTGACTTGTATCAGGATGAAGTTCCTCTAACACACTTTTTCCATAAAGCATATAGAAGCTTCTGAGTTTAGGAACACCATCCAGAATTTTAGCACTCTATTTTGGGCCGTTTTAAGCAGTAAAATCACAACTTCCCTCCCAGCCCTCCCCCAACTCACAAAAATCATGACACTTGAACACCAAGGAAAGGACACTTATTTACAATTTGGGTTGAAACATAAGGCAGAAGAAAACCTTGTCTCACTTCATCTGGGGAACTGTGAATTTGGCAACTTGAATTTTTTGATACTCTGTACTTGCACATTCTCATGCATACCCACAATGATCCCAAAAGACACCTTAAGTACCCGATTTTGGGGTTTAAAGATACATTTTATCAAGTAGGGGAGTTTGCAAAATGGGACACACAAATAATAATAATCAACTTATCTATTTTGAAAAAGATGGGCACCAGAATGTGGACACTATGGCAGCAGAGTCCTCAGAGGGGCTCCCAGGGTTTTGAGGGGCTATCCTCCACCTGTGAACAGCTGGCTCCCTCACTAAGCTATAAGCTGGCCAGGGCTGTGCTGTCAGGAGAAGCAACCTGGTTGTGAGTAGGCGATATTCAGCCCAGGTATGCCAGCGGCCCTCCCCCCTCCCCCGACCCCTTCCCCGGGAGCCAACCCAGTATGCCTGGTGAGTCAGGGCACCTACCGCATGCTACTGTCCAATAGACTTGTGAGTCCTGGGTCTGATGCAGAATGCGGTAAGGAGCCACGCGGGCACTGGAGTCCAGCACCACATCCAGAGTACCCACAAGAAGACCTGTCAGCAGGGCAGAGAAGGTGAGATTGAGGGAGGGCAATCAGAATGGTGGCACTGTCCCCAACAACCGGGTCCAGGGTGGGGAAACATTTTAAATCACCTCTTCATCAAATGACTTCTTCCTCAAAACTTTTCAGCCCACGTCTACTCTCTGTGTACCTACTTCCTACTTCTAGGAAGCTTCTGCTTCTCTTGACCCAGAAACACTTGCAAGGAGGTGTAGATTTTCTTTTTAAAGATTTATTTGTGCATACAGACCAGAGGAGGGGGTGTGGGTGGAGGAGGAAGGGGAGAGAGGATTCACCAGAAACAGAGTGGGCAGAACAGGGAGATCTATTGAAATACACTGTTGAGAGGAGCAGTGGGTGGGTCAGGAGGTCTGTCACACCACCTGGGTCACATCCCTGGCTGCAGGGACTGCAGATTGCACCACCTGGGTCACATCCCTGGCCTGGGATCGAACTCTTGCTGCAGTGGCTGCAGTAGCTTCATAGTAGTGTGCTCTAACCCACTGCGCCACCAGGACCCATAGCTCAAAAAATTCTGAGGGCCTCTTTAAGAAAAATACAAAATTTGGCTTGAAAACAAGTATTCCTTTAGAATGGGAAAATATCATAGCTACAAATTAGAAACAAAAAAGAGTAAGACCACAAAGTAATAAAGTCAGGGGAGAAAATACAATGTGTTTTATTAACTGCCAGATGCCTCTTTTAAGAAAAGCCTCCCTCAGACATTTCTGGCCTTGTAGTCTGATTGCTTTGTTGCAAGACAATAATTCTGTAATTTCATTTTCTCAACCTGCCACAAGATCACCCATGTTTATTATTTTAAGTTTAAGGAAGTTCCTTGCAGTCTCAAGTCATGACTGAAAAAGACAACAAGGCATTTTTAAAATTGCTCAAGTTGGGAAAACACTGACTCAGTCTTTTCCACCATTTCTGACAGAAGCAGTTTTAGAACATTCCAAATGTTCCTTATCACCACACAGATCTTTTGTCCACATCATTATTTCTCCAACAAATCAGAGGAAAAGCTTCTCTTTTACCACTTTGAATTAACAAGCAATCTAAAAATCTATACTGCTCCTATTTGAACTGCATTTCCCCCCCTCTAAACAAGTGTAGAATTTTAGGTAGAATCTGAAAATATTTTGTTACTATTTTTCTGTTGTTATAGTAATTTCTATTGATTTTATTATTCAACTTTTAACACTTTTGTTTCATGTTATATTTTAAATATGACTATTAAAAATAAAGTCTTTAATAGATAAAATCAGTGATTACAAAAGAGGTTATTTTTCACATCCATGTAAGTCAGGAATCTGTAATCTCACTTGATTTACCAAAACATTTTCAAATGTATTTCTAAATTGCAGTTAAAACAGTATATCCTAATTTTACTTGCTTTTGGAATAAGATTTTTCTGTTTGTGAGGAGTTACTCTTCTGGTCTTTGGAATCTTATCAAATCTCTACATTGCTGGCATCTCTGTGCTGCAAGACCTGAAAAGCTTTTAATGGGCACCCACCCATCTTGTGATCCTCAGACTCGTGAAGAAAGAATTCAGGTTGGCATCTATTTTTAAAAGACAGTTTTAATAAAACCACATCACTAGCTGTTATTGTACAGGATAGCACCACACCAGGAAGGTCATATGTCTAAAATGGCCAAAGGAAGGCCACAGTGGGGACAGGGAGTTCAAGGGCTGGTTCAGGGATCTCACTTTGGGGACACACAGGAATGAGAGTGATTGAAAGGACTACATCTGCAGGATGCTCAAGAGGGTCTATCTATCCATCAAGATGGACTGTAGAAACCTAGAGCAAGCACCCAAAACATGCTGGCTGAATCTGGCACCATGGTATATTGATGCAACAGAGGGCAATGGACACCAGGGTCTCACTTTCCAAACAGGCTGCAATAGCTTTCAAGTTGATCACTGGTCCAGTCTCTCCAGGGGGGCTGCTCAACCGTGCTGAAACCACTTGGCCCAGGAGGCAGGTCCAGCACTAACTCCTATGATTCTCAGACTATGGGGGGAGCCCCAGGCACTGAGGGGAAGAATGAGTTTTCTTGGGAAGTACAATCTCTTACACATGAGGAGGTGTGGGCCAGGAGACACTGGTGGCAGGGACTGGTGGCTTTCCGTGGGAGGTCTTTTGTAGCTGGTAGGTCTGTATCAGCTCTTGATGTTTAAAATGAGGACAGAAAACTCTCTTGTTAAGTAGATTATCCAACAACATTGGGGTGACAGTCTTGTATGGCAAAAATGGGCCACCCTGGGAGCACAGGCCGTGGGGGAGCCCTGAGCATGACCCAGCTTTGCTTTGAGGATGCCCAGAGGTCCTGGAGCAGGAAAAGTCCTGGACAACACTTGCAAAGAGAATGTGCCCTGGACTCTACAAGGCACCCACTGTGAGGTACTTGCCTAGTTTCCTCCAGTGTGGGACCTACGGAGGCAAAGGGGCACCTTGACCAGCTCACCAGAACACAACAATAGTGATCCAACAGTCCTGAGTGTGCTCCTCAGCTGGCACCAAAAGGCAGGAAAGATGGGTGAGGAGATGCTGATGGTGAGGCCAAGCAGCAACTGGGGGCTTGGGAAGAATGGGGCGGGGCGATTGATTCCGAGGAAAGAGCAATTGTTTGGAGGGTGTGGGAATGAAGGAAGCCAAAGTAAAAGTGTGCTTGTGTCACTTGGCCCTTAAGAGGCGCTTGGGGAAACTGAGGCGGAGGAAAGCGCCAGAGGCTTTCAGCTCACGGGCGCTCGGTGTAAGCAGAAAGCAGCAGCCGGCAGCTTGCGGCGTGGGCTCACGAGTCTCCAGATCAGCCTCCTAACGCCGGTGCATAGGCCCTCCAGAGTGCCCCGGCCGGCTGGCCTCCGCGACCCCCGCGCCGCGGCTCCATCCTCCTCTCCTCTCCCCTCCGCTCTCCAGCCCAGCCCAGCCCAGCCAGCCCCAGAGCGCCGCTCCTCGCCTCCGCCCCACCGCCTCGGCGTCGCCTGGCGCCCCGCGTCTCCCTCCGCGCGCGCTGACGTGCGCGTCCGCGGCGCCGCCCGTGGCCAGGCCTGTTCGGGGCGACGGTATCG